TAACACTACTTTTCAAATAAATGTAAAAAAAAAATATTCCATAGCAAGCATATATTAAAAGGATTCCTCACTGCCACACCCTCACACATAAAAATGTTGGTAAGGACCACCTGGGAGCAGACAGAAGAACCAAGCCCAACAACTGCGTTATCCCTGTTCTTGGCACACGAAAACTTTAGCCACTGAGTTTATTAGCTCACACATCTGGGTTTTTCTTCCTTCCTGCTTAGTAACAAGACAGGCTTGATGCCACAGGGGCTGCCAGGCCACCTGGGAGAACCAGGGCAAGGCGGGGAGAATGTGTACAAACATGAGGGGAGCCAGGGCTGACATGGCTGCTCCCCAGCTCCCAGACACCTGGAGCAGGCAGTTGAGGCCCAGCACATCTCTGCAGAAGTCAATGAGTGAATACTTTGTTGCTTTTATTGTAACGCCATCTTCCTTGGGCGAGAGTATTGAGGCTGCTGCACTGGCTGATGGGTGGGTGTTTCCTACATCTTGTCTCAGAAAGAAAGCTCTTTCCTCTGCTGGTTCATTCCCCAAAATGACCATAGTAGTCGACCAGAACTGGGCTGATTCAAAGCCGGGAGCTTCTTCTAGGTCTCCCACATGGGTTCAGGGGCGCAGGGACTTGTGTCAACCTCTACTGCCTTCCCAGTCCATAAACAGGGAGTTGAATTGGAAGTGGAGCAGCCGAGGCAGGAACTGGTTCTCGTATGGGTTGCTGGTAGCACACGTGGAGGCTTAACGTGCTCTGCCACTGTGCCAGCCCTAGTTCCTAAGATTTTTACTATAATACAATAAAAAAATTAATCCCAAGAAATTCAAGGGAAATTGACTTTCTCACACTACCTGAGGTTGCCCCGGGCCACCTGGGTTTCTTCTGTGACAGCCTTCTCCATTCTAGCCCGCACTTCTCCCATCGCAGCCTTGGTCGCTTGGGGTTGTCACGGTGGTGTGACAGGTCCCTCTTCCCTGCTGGGTTGCCAGCCCACACACAGTTACTGAGCCTCTCCTGCCCAGCATTGTGCCATCAGATACTTCCATGAGCCTCAGTCAGAATAGGGCTCATGTTTATTGAATGACTCCAAGGCCCCACAGCTTCCGATCTTCCGAGAACTTTGTCACAAGCCCTCCTCGTCAGGGCTAGGGAAGGCGCTGTAAGGGTTTATTGCTCTTGGGAAGAGATCGGAAGTACTCGTAGGTCGGGCCGGATTCAGTCACAACACACTCCAGTACACATGAGGGCTTGGACTGGGTGCTGGCTGAACTGGGTTAGGCTCCCACCAGTGTGAGCTGGAACTGGAGGTGGGCTAGGCCAGGCCAGGCTACAGCACCCACTGGCAAAAACTGAGGTCATACTAGACTGGGCTGCGGCACCCAACCAGCACACGCAAGACCTGGAGGGCGGAGGAGGCAAAGTCAGTAGGGGAGGTGGCATGGGGCTCCCTTGCTGGACACTATTCCCATTAGAGAGCGTGAGTTGGGATGGGGACAGACCAGGCCAGGCAGGGCTACAACATCCGTGGGCCTCATATGAGCTGGACCAGGGAAAAGCCAGGCTGGGTTGACTATTCCTACTGGTGCAAGCATAAGTTAGAGTGGGTGTGGGTTGGTTGGGTTCTGTCATAAGATCTGTTGGCAGATGCTGGCATGGGGGAGCTAATTCTGTCAAACCAAACTGCAGAATCACCTGGAGAGTGCATGATCCAGGAGTGGGCCCATTAGGGAAACGGTGGATATCTTGCTTTTGGGTTGCCACTCTATCTGTTGAGCATGAGAACCACGGACTGGGTCAGGCATGGCTAGACAGAACAGCACCCACCAGCAGGTGTGTGGGCTGGACTGTGGGGCTGATTGGGTTGAACTAGGCTTCAGTGCCCATTGACATGTATGTGAGCTGAATGGGATGTTGGACAGACTGGACCAGTCTGCTGTACATACTTGTAAGCACGGGAGCCAGGGTAAGGGGCAAGCTGGTAAGGGTTATTGCGGATTGCTCCGTCTAGGCTGCAGCTCCCACTGGTTTACATGAGGGCCGAGTATGTGGTGGGCAGGATCAGGATGGTCTCCAACACCCATGGGTTTGTGTAAAAGACAGGGCTGGAGGCAGAACTGACCCAGCAAGTGCAACCACCAGTGTATTCATAGACTGATTGGGACAATGGTCTGTGCTGGACCCTGTACTGGCAGGCATACCCAAGAATCTGGTCTGGGATCACCTTAGACGAAGTTTCTTTGGGGATCCCCCTAATCGAACTGCTGGACTCAGAACCCCAGCCATGAAGAGAAGTACAGCTTCCATGGTCTGACATGGAGTCCACGTGTCAAAGCTGAGCCTCCTCAGAGGCTCAGATGGAGCAGTGGACGGCATAACCAGATGCGCATGGAGGATATGGCAGTACGTTGGAGCCTGCATGGGACACCTGAGGACAAAACGAATCGATCATCAACCCCAGCCAGGTGTTGGCAGTGAAAATCTGGACAAGCAGAGATGCTAAGGTGGACTGCCTCAGCCAGTAGATTCTGGAGAGATTTCATTGTGCTTGGAATAGCAAGACTGGTGGCAATTCAGAACAATTGAACTATCAAACCAGTTGAGCAGTGCCCTAACAGCTTGTCCCACATCGGAGACTCTGGGATGGTTGGGAGGGTGGATGTGTCTTTTCACTTCATCTCTCCCCTTCCCCCAGATACAGGGAGGAAAAAAGAGAATGTGGAAGCAATGGTTTTACTTTTCTGTAGCCCTTGACCTTTTGAGCCCTAATCAACTATGTAAAGATCATCAAAATTAAAAAAAAAAAAAGGTGCTCTCATCTATTCCACCTGTTGGATTCTCTCATAAGATTGTTGGAAAAAGGTTCTGCACAGCTAACTATGCTTAGGGACCCCTGCCCTCATAGACTTCAGGGTATCTGTCATTCTGACCTGCTGCGTTTAGAGGAGTGCTGAGGACTTGGTGTGTGTGTATGTGTTGGGTGTATGTGCTGGGCACCGAGATGCACCACCTGATCCCCGTTCAAGACGCCCTTGTAACTCAGTAGCAAGGAAAGCAGCGAGCCGAGGGCCCCGGCCGCAGCCCCACCAGGATCCTTGTCCGCTGGGACCTGCATGGAGGGTGGCTGAGCACTGGGTGGAGCGGGGCTGCCCTGCATGAGGTGCCCCCTCATTGCACTCTCGAGTCGATGGGTTGTGAGTTCGTTGTCTTTGCATGCGGCCCTGACCCTTCCCTGTAGCGTGCTAAGTCCCCACTTCTTGTCTCTTACAGGCCATGTTGAAATCCTGCTCCGTCCCACTTCCTTCCTCTTTCCTCTTCCAGTGTGTTACCCCCCAACAAGATGACGCACTCCTCACTCCCCTGAAGCCTCTGCTGTTTCAGCGGGACCCAGTCCGTATGATGCACATGCGACGTTTCTGACTTCTTGCTCACCCAGGGTTGAATACCCTTCCGGTTTTGAAAGCACTCCTTAAGACATAACTCTTGGTCCAAGGCACATCAGTGCCTCCTGCTCAAACATCCCGAGGAACTGTTTGCCTTTCTTACCACATCCCATGCCTTGGGGTTCCAACAAGTGTTGCACTGGCATCTTGCCTAGAACGTTGGCCCTTGAAGCATCAGTGATGGTGGCAGTGAGTGGAAAGTCTCCTGGCAGTGGTTTCCTGGATGGTGATTAGGGTGGCTGTGTCCATTACCTTGCTTCATGTTTCCCTACTGCAGCCCGATTGTGTTCCTGCTCCTATTCGGAGCCATTTTTGCCGGGATTCCCATGGATTCTTTGAGCTAACCAATCGCCTTCCAGCAGGCAGCAGCCTCTTCTATGTAAAGTAGCGATTTTATGCTGTCTTGTCCACCTTCCTTCCCAGGGGACGTTTATTTGTTTTGGTCACTGATGGATCCCAAGTATTTGCAGAATGTGCTAGGTCATATTGGTTATTCAACAATGTTTTGGGCCTGGCATGGTAGCCCAGGCTAGTGTCCTTGTCTTGCATGTGCCAGGATCCCTTATGGGCACCGGTTTGTGTCCCGGCTGTTCCACTTCCCATCCAGCTCCCTGCTTGTGGCTTGGGAAAGCAGTGGAGGACGGCTCAAAGCCTTGGGCCCCTGCACCCATGTGGGAGACCTGCAGGAGGCTCCTGGTTGCTGGCTTCAGGTCAGCTAGGCTCTGGCCATTGTCCCATCTGGGGAGTGAACCAGCAGACAGAAGAACTTCCTCTGTCTCACCTCTCTATCTGCCTTTCCAATGAAAATAAATAAATATTAAAAAAAAAATCATGTGTGCGTGTGGCAGGAGGTGGAGGGAGGTTTTCACTAGCTGATCCAGACAACGGAAACACAATAGGAGAAGCTGTGGGCTCCTGAACTGCTCTTCAGAACGGAGTGGGGGAGTGTTGGCTCTGAGAGCTGTGATGAGAGCAACCAGGAAAACGAAAGCCTAGAAAGGGGAGATGTGGTGAGAGAGGTCAGAGGTCAGTGGAGTTGCTGAAGGGCAGTGTGTTGCCTGGGAAGTCACGGGAACTGAAGGGCCAGGAGGCCACAAAGCCCACTTCCCGGGGTTTGCTGCACCCCTCCTTTGGGGGCACCCACCACACCCAACAAATTTGCTCCACTCACTATTCTTCAATTCATTGTGTTCTTTCTTTTTTGGAGGGAGAGGTGAAAACATAAGAACAAAAAAGAAGGGATCATGGATCACGTGTTGCTTAATATCAACGCAAAGACCCAGGGCCACCATAAGGGCAGAATCTACCAGGAGGGTGTGGTACAGGCAGCGAATGTTAAAGCTATGTGCTTGTGCTGAAATTCTGGAGAGGGTATTGCTCTTCTACCAGCTGAGGCGATACACAGCTCTTTCTAGTCCCCGGTTAACTTCTCATGGCAGGTGTAGCAGTCCCTGCTCTCGGGGTCACTGTGTGAACTTGGTGAGGGTGGTGGCCAGGCCTGGATGCCGGGAAGAGCTCGGTTCCCCAGCCTGGTTCTCTCTGAGCGTGGTGGATGCAGCTCAGCGGGCCACAAGGCAGAGCTCGTAGGATGGAGGAATGTTGCCGAAGCCCGAGATCTTGGGGGTGATGTCAATGTTGACGGGCGGCACCAGCGGGTGCAGGGAGAAATTCTGCAGGATGGAGGTGAAGTAGAGGAAGAGCTCCATGCGGGCCATGGCTTCACCCAGGCAGATGCGCTTGCCTGCAAACACAGGGCAGATGCAACGGTGAGGGATGGGGTGGGGTGGGGGCAGCAAGGGGTCCTGCCTTGCCCCCGTGCAGAACCATGGCTGCCTCAGTGTGTCTCAGGGGATGCAACTGCATCCACCCCTGAGAACAGGGCACACAAATCAGCCAGTCACTGTGTGAGGGACCAGCCTGCTCTGCTCCTTGGTTCTGAGGGACCAGCAACCTGAGGATGCAGGCTCCAGGTTTTCAACAGCTGAGTTCTCTCTCTCCCTCTCTCTCTCTGTCGGTGTGCATCTCTTTGCCTTTAGAATTCAGTGAAAATGAAGCACTATTTGTCAAGGGACTAAGTATGAAGTGCAGCCGTGGATTGCCCGAGGCCCTCCTGGTGTGTCTGCATTTAGATGGCAGCTATGCTTCACATCTGGCTTCCTTCTGAGGCCGACCGGGGAGGCAGCAGCTGTGGCCTCGGTGCCCAACCCCTGCCATGCACCCACGAGAGTCAGAGCGAGCTCCAGGCTCCTAATTCACCCTGGACTGCGCATCTGGGAGAGTGGACTAGCAATTACAAGTATAACTTCTCTTCCCATGCCCAACTCTTCTCTCTCTGCCTTCTGCATAACACAAAAATGTGAAGTAATGGGAAAAAAAATCAAAAGCATATGTTGTGATACATGAAAATTAAGATTTGGGGGTCCACAAATCATTTTTCAGCTCCTATGCTTGTTCATTTGTTTCACCTTGTCTGTGGGGCTCACAGTATCAGGACAGAAGTGAGCAGTGCAGCTACGGACCCTCCCAGGGCAAAGAAATAAGATCTTTTCTGTGGGGTTCCTTTCTAGAAAAACATGCTGAGTCTTTGTTTTCTGCTCTAGCTGTTCCGATGCAGTTTTTTCTTCTGAGCAATGGAGTAGATATTGCTAAGGATATTCCCTGTTTGAGGGATTCTAGAAGTTGCTGGTTCCCTGACTTGGCCCCCCACTTCCCATTGTGTCTTGAACTTTAGCCCTTGACCCGCCCCCGCCCTGGAGAGGGTGTAGATCAGGAAATTCTACCAGAGGAGAATGGCACAAACGCTTCATTCTTCTTGAAGCGGCCCTGCTCGTCCAGGAAGTGTTCCGGGTAGAAGGCGTCCGGATGGCGGAAGTACTTGGGGTCTTTGAGGACGGAGCCCAGCAGGGGAAATACGTCTGTGCCCTGGAATGAGATGGAGGGCAGCTGGAGCGATTGGTGCCAGATGCAGGGCTGGGGAACAGGCAGGAGGGGCCACCGAGAGGGGGTAGCGCCCACCTTGGGTAGGAGGTAGCCTCGAAAGTGAGTGTCCCGAATGACGTTGTGAGGGACGCCCATAGGCACAATGTCCGTCAGCCTCTGTATCTCATGGATCACGGCGTCGGTGAAGGGCATCTTGACCCGGTCGTCCACGCTGGGGATCCGGTGCGGTCCAATCACCCGATGGATCTCTTCGTAGATCTTGGCTGAGAGAGGTCAGAAAATGATGGAGACAGAGGTAGGAGAGGGCGTGGGGAGTGGCCTGGACAGAGTCCCAGTGCAGGTGCAAGGGTGGGGCAGGAGGGCCAGAGGTGGGCGAGAAGTGACGGTGGGAGCAGAGAGGGACCTGAAGTCAGTGTCATCCTCTGGAATTGAAGATGGAGGAAAGGGTTGTGATCCCAGCCCTGTGAGGAAGGCGGGTGCAAGTCTGGAGAAAGCAGGGACCCAGACTCTGCCTTAGTCCCAACCCAGGGGAAGCCCGTGTGAACCCCCAAACTTCCAAATTACAATAAGGAATGTGTGTGGGTTTTCAGCAGCAGTTTCAGACAGTGTATTACAGGGTCCAAAGGACGCACATAACTGCAGGACACAGACAGATTCAGGGCAGCCATTGTGCTGCAGTGCCTTAAGCCATCCCCGGGGACCCCCACATCCTGTGTCAGGATGCTGGCTTGAGTCCTGGCTAATTCACTTCTGTGTCCTCCTGTTGATATAGCTAGAGGCAGCATGTCATGGCTCTGTGGGTCCCTGCCACCCACATGGGAGACCTGGATGGGGTTCCAGGTTCCTGGCTTCAGCTTGACCCAATCCTGGCTGATATAGCCATTAGAAACCAGGATATAGAAAATTTTGTCTTCTCTTCAATGGAATACTTTTATAAAGTATAAGATTAGGGGCTGACACATGGCTCAATAGGCTAATCCTCCATTCGCAAGGGCTGACATTCCATATGGCCTCTATTTTGTCTCCTGGCTGCTCCACTTCCCATCCAGCTCCCTGCTTGTGGCCAGGGAAAGCAGTAGAGGATGGCCCAAAGCCTTGGGACCCTGTACCTACATGGGAATCCCGGAGGAGGCTCTGGCCTCTTGGCTTCTGATTGGCTCAGTTCCAGCTGTGGCAGCCATTTGGGGAATGAATCAGTGGATGGAAGATCTTCCTCTCTGTCTCTCCTCCTCTCTGTATATCTGACTTTCCAATAACATAAAATAAATCTTAAAAAATAAAAAGGGATACGTGTCCTGAGGGTGAAGAGTGACAGGCTGTAGGAGTCTCAAATTCCAAGAGACGATGTTTTCCTTCCTGGCAGGAAAGGGAGGAGCCAGATGGGAGCGGGCTGGGTGGGGGCCCTCACCTTCCACCTCAGGGTGCTTCATGAGCAGCAGGAACCCATAGCGGAGGGTGGAGCTCACTGTCTCCGTGCCCGCAAAGAAGAGGTTGAGCGTGGTGAGCACCAAGTTCTTGAGGTTGAACTCCGTGTTGGGGTTATTTTGATCCTGAAAAGGAGTGCACAGGAAACCCAATCACGCTCTGCCAGCTTTATTTTCTCCCTGTGCATAGCACGGGCTTTGGTGCAAACATACTAGATGAATAAACCACGTCCGAGAGAGGCAGTGGCCAGAGCAAAGGTCCCAGGAGCAGGAGGGAGAGTGCCTTGTCTGAACTGAAAGTTCTGGAACTTCAGAGCATGTCATTTAAACTACTAAACACAGCTGGTGCCATGGTTCAATAAGCTCATCTTGCATTTGCAAACGTCAGCATCCTGTATGAGCACTGGTTCATAGCCCGGCTGTTCCACTTCCTAGCCAGCTCCCTGCCTGTGACGTGGAAAAGCAGTAGAGAATGGCTCAAAGCCTTGGGACCCTGTATCCATGTGGGAGACCCAGAAGAGGTTCCTGGCTCCTGGCTTTGGATCGGCTCAGCTCTGGCTGTTGCATTCACTTACGGAGTAAACCAGCAGATGGAAGATCTTGTCCTCTGTCTCTCCTTCTTTCTGTAAATCTGCCTTTCCAATAAAAAGGTAAACCTAAAAAAAAAAACCCACTGAATACTACCATTGTATAATATAAAAATACATATTTCTGATAGTCTAAAAACCAATGATATAGAAATGAGTAATTGAAATTTCCAAACATCTAACACCTTAAACTTTGAATAGTCAAGATTACAGACTTGAAAATTTTTAAGGATTTATTAATTTTTATAGGAAAGACAGATTTGCATAGAGAAGGAGACACAGAGAAAGATCTTCCATCAGTTGGTTCACTCTTGAAGTGGCCACAACGGCCAGAGTTGAGTTGATAAGAAGTTAAGAGCCTGGATCCTCTTCCAGGTTTCCCACGTGGGTGCAGAAGCTCAAGCACTTGGGCCATCTTCCTCTGCTTTTCCAGGTCACAAGGCAGGAGCTGGATGAGAAATACAGCAGCTAGGACATGAAGCAGGGCTCATATGGGATGCCAGTGCTTGTAGGCGGAGGATTAGCCGCTTAAGACACCACACCAGCCGCAGGATTACAGACGTTAGGCTCCAAAGACATCTCAAATGCTCAGACTCAGATTCATGCCACGCGACTACAACCATATTGCACTGACATGTATGATTAGACGTTGGTGACATCGGACATGTCCATGTCCCCAACAGCTCCAGATTCATCTCTGTTGTCAAAGTCTAAGAGTCTGTGCTTCCTCACAGCTTGGCCAGCTCATCCAGACAGAAGAGCGAGTCTGTCAGCCCCGCTATTGGCAGGCGGGATGATGCAAGTGGGAGGGAACATGGTGGGTACCTGGTGCATCTTGATGAGGAAGCAGTCAATGAAATCCCGAGGATTCTGAGGGTCAAAGGATGCTTCGTTGACCTTGACTCTGGACGCGATGAAGTCCTTGAGCTCCTCTATCAAGTAGTAGATGCGATTGTGTCTTCCTGGTAAGTACTGCATGATTCCAGAGTACATGTCGTACAGCTGTGGGAGACAAAGGGTGGCGGAGCCAGAGCTGCACCCCAAGTCCAGAGGCGCACTCCTGCAAAGTGGGTGACGCTCTCTGTCTCCTAGTACCCCGGAAGTGCCCGGGGGTGTGAGAAGGAGAAACTGAGGATTAGACTGGGCTGGGGGAACAGGCAGGAGGGGGCTGTCCTGCACCTGTGCCCAGGGCGTGCTCATCTCGATGAAACTCTCATTAATCATCCGCAGCAGCTTCAGGAACTGCTCGTCCTGGTAGTCGAAGCGGCTGCCGAAGACCACGGAGCTGATGACGTTGGAGACCGTGCGGCTCAGGAAGAAGGTGGGATCGATGGGGGCGCCTGGGGGGTGGGGAGTGACTGTGTTTGAGGCAGTGCTGACCACGTGGTCTATGGACCCACCCCACTGTGCTTTTGTGTCTGCCTCACTCCCCCTAGCTCATAGGCATCGCTTAATTTTTCTTTATTTGCGTGTAGGTTTCCTCAATCTGATCGAAAAGCCACTTCACTGGTTCCTAAGGCTTCAAAATAATGGTCTGTAGACAGTGTTCAGTGCAGGGCCTGCCCTGTAGCGCATAGACATGCTGGGAGAGGTTAGTTGCCATCTTTGTTATTACTATTTAAATATGTTTGTGACAAAGAGTCACACATTTGGGGAGAATAACGCCAAGGGAAATACTTGCAAAGCGAAGAGGCAGGTGTTTGGCACATTGGTTGAGTAACCACTTGGGATGTCCCCATGCTGTAGCAAAGTGCCTGGTTCCAGTCCCAGCTCCTCCACTTCCAGTACAACTTTCTACTAATGGAAACCCTGCAGGGAGCAGGCAATGCTGCCCAGATGGGAGACCCAGATCGAGCTCTGGGATTCTGATATCACGCTGGTCTAGCCTGGCTGTTGTGGGCATGTAGGGAGTGAAGCAGTAGGTAGAAGTTTCTCCCTTTCCTCTCTTTCAAGAAGAAGAAGAGGAAGAGGAGGAGGAAGAAGAAAAGTGTTTGGATTCTGTCTCGTTTCACCAACGATTCCATGTGAATGATCAGGAAAGTTACTACCTGGTGGTCAGCAGCTCCATCTGTGGGTCTGGGACAGTGTCAGAGCAGTGCGCATGCTTGCAAATGTTCATCAACTGGACAATGACGTCTGGGAGAGTTTGGCTGCGTCAGCCTGCCTCGGGGCTCTGGGAATGACCCCTGGCGTCCACGTGAGGACCTCAAACTCGTGTGTCTCTGGCTGTTCCCCATTGGCCTCTGTGTCATTCCCTATAGGCTCTGGTGGGTTTACACCTTATTTTTGGTTGGGAACTAGAGTCCTTTAAAAATATAAGCAAATGAGCATAGAATCTCAGACTGGCAAGATGAGGAAGTCCTACCCATTTGTACCGTTGTTTCTAACATCACAGAAACAAATACCTATAATGAAATTTGACCCCATCTCCACAGAAAGACAGCAGCTGACATCTTGCCAAGACCTACATACATCAGGAGCTCCAACCACCCACCTCTCCCACCACCAGAGAGCCAGTGATGAAAGCTTCCGGACAATTAGTCTCCAAGGGTGTTTGTGTTAACAACTGACTCAGAGGCTGCCTGGAAAGTTCAGTGAAGCTCCGTTATTTCCATGTTCTAGAACTTTCTCCCCCCAAAGCCCATCTTCTCCCGAATGAGTGCTCTGTGGCCTCCAGGCCCCATACCTTTGGTCTTGCGGAACTCCTCCAGCAGGTAGCCAGCCTCCTCCTGGATCCGCTCCTCAATGCTGCGTTTGCCCATCCCGAAGTCCCGGAGGATGGTCAAGGAGAAGCGACGCAGGATCCTCCAGCGTTCTCCGTTGGCCAGGGCTACACCTGTCGGGAGCTCAGGGTCACACTCCTGCCTCCCCACCCCTCTCTGTATCCACTGTGTGCTAGCCACAGTGGGACAGAAGGAACAGAAGGAACAGCTTAGAGAAGCTCTCGGAGACTGTGTTGTGGTGCACTGGGTTAAGCAGCTGCCTGCCACGATTGTATCCCATTGGTGCCTACTTGAGTCATGGTTGTTTCGCTTCTGATCCAGCTGCTTGTTAATGTACCTGGGAAAGCAGCAGAGGCTGACACACAAGCTTGGGCATCTGTACCCACACTGGAGACCCAGACGAAACTTCTGCCTTTGGGCTTTGGCCTGGCCCAGCCTTGGCAATTGCAGCCTCTGGGGAATGAACCAGAGGATAGAGGACCTGTCTCTGCGTATCTCTCCCTCTTTCTGTAATTCTGCTTTTCAAATAAAGTGAACAACAACAACAAAAGCATTAGCATATAACTCTACTCTCCAAGAAATCCCCTCCAACCTTGCACTGTGAAAAGGGAGGTTATGACAAATCCTCTGGACTCAGGGTGGGGGTAGGGCACAAAGGGGAGGGTGTGGTGGTTTAGAAACAATCCAGGGATTTCTAAAGATTTGTTTTACTTATTTGAAAGGCAGAGTTACACATAGAGAGAGAACTCTTCCATCCCCTGCTTCACTCCCCTGATGGTCACAACAACCAGGGCTGGACTGGCCCGAAGCCAGGAGCTTCATCCAGCTCTGCCACGGGGGGCGCAGGGCCCACGCAGTTGGGTTGTGTTCCACTGCTTTCGCAGGCACATTAGCAGGGAGCTGGATCCAAAGCGTTGTAGCCAGGACCTGAACTAGCACCGATAAGGCATGCTGAACATTGCAGGTGATGGCTTAAAGACTAAGCCACAGCATCAGCTCCTGTAGAAAGCTTTTACAGGGCACAGAGGTGTCACTGGGAAAAAAGTCACTCAATGAATGCCACAGGAAGTGGAGGAAGGCATAGCTCCCGGTTTCAGCCTGGCCCAGCCTCAGCCATGTGCGAGGTGAACCAGTGAATGGAAGCTAAGCCAGTGAAGCGTTCTATCATTCTTTCATCCTTTTCTGTTTAACGTTGCCTTTAAATTAAATAAATCCTTTTTTTAAAAATAAATGCATCTAGTTAAATGGAGGAGGAAGATACCCATGTGTGTGCAGTGTCTAAGAAGATAAAAAAAAAAATAGAGTTAGCTATGATGGCTTTGATGGGTGCATAGAAATGATCACTCACTTGCTTGTCAAATGTAAAGTACATCAGGGTTGGCTTGTGTTCAAAGCGAATTGATTCTATCCCGTGGCGTGGAAGTGCACCTTTGCCACCCTCGGCTTCCTCACGTGGGAAGTGAGTGTGATGATGCTAAGCGCTTTCTCCAAGAAGCCCAGTGTGATACCCCATGTACACCACCCAGTACACAGCCTGATCAGGCGGTCTCATCGTTGCTGTTGCTACTACTGGCGGTTTCTTACCGTGGCCTTGAAAATTTCGCTCTATGGAAGCCAGTTCTCCACGGCCACTGAACTCATCCGCTCGGTCCACGAGGGCTTCCTTTACCGCTTCATGTCCGCATAGAATCACCACGGGCCGGGGACCCATGTACACGGTGAACACGGGGCCGTACTTCTCCCTGAGCTGGGAGTGGAATAAGACAGAAGCAGAAGCATGGATGGGAACATGATGTAAAGATGGACCAAGATTCTAGTGGGTGAGACCCCCCAGCGGGGGCAGAGGAGACAGTGTGTGCACAACACAGGAAGTAGATACCAGATTTGGAACGATTGTTGGGAAAGACATTATAGAAATACTGTTTTGGTTTTGTTTTGTTGCAAAGACAGAATTACAGAGAGAAGAAGAGACAAACAGATCTTCCATCTGCTGATTCACTCCCCAAATGGCTGCAATGGCTGGAGCTGAGCCAATCTGAAGCCAAGAGCCCGGAGCCTCCTCTGTATGTCCCATGTAGGTGCAGGATCCCAAGACTTTGCGCTGTCCTCTACTGCTTTCCCTGACCACAAAGCAGGGAGCTGGCTGGGAAGTGGAGCAACCGGGAAATGAACTAGTGTCCATTTGGGATCCTGGCATGTGCAGGTGGAGGGTTAGCCAGTTGAGCCATTACACAAGGTCTGGTTGTAGAAATCTTGATTTTGTGATTCCGGGGAAGAACCATGTCCTACCCCCACCTCCACAAGCTTTGGCTCCCTCCTGTGTGAAATGGTGGTTTGGATTGGATGAACTCCAGATCCCCGATTCTCCTGTGCAAGCGCTAGGTGGGTAGACTCTCTTGAGTTCATGATACGGAGCCTCAAAGATAAAACAATGAGTGTGCAAGAGTCCCTGTGAGCAAGAAGATAAGCTCAGGACTCTAAGATCCTGAGGTTGTGGGGGTCTCACTCCAATGCCCTAGGAATTTGTACACTTATAAGAATCAGTGTTTGGGGTCCATGTGATGGCTCAATTGGCTAACCTGCTTGCAAGTGCCAGTGGCATCCCATATGGGCACTGGTTCATGTCTCAGCTCCACTTCCCATCCAGCTCCAAGCTTGTGGTCTGGAAAGCAGTGGAAGATGGTCCAAAGCCTTGGGACCCTGCACCCTTGTGGGAGACCCGGAAGAAGCTCCTGGCTCCTGGCTTCAGATCAGCTCAACTCTAGCTATTGCAGCTGTTTCAGGAGTGAACCAGCAGATGGAAGATCTCTTTGTCTCTCCTCTCTGTAGCTCTCTTTCCAATGAAAATAAATACACCTTAAAACAAACAAACAAACAAACCTGGAGCTTTAGAATTCTAAGGTTGGCCGAGTCTCTTTGGGCACCTGGGTTTTAGGAGTGGTGGTTTGCTTTTGTGGCTGCGGCCGACTCACCTTCATGAAGGACTGGAAGGTAGCATCGGTGCGCACCTGCAGCAGGTTCCCCAGGAAAGGAATCGGAGTTGGGCCCGGGGGCAGCTTCCCTGCCTTGGTGACTTTTTTCCAGGCAATCATGATGAGCAGGCAGGAGAGGCAGAGAGCCAGAAAGATGGTGAGCGCCCCGCCCAGCTCCATGCTGTCCAGCTGTGAGAGTAGGTCCCGCACACCAGCTCCTACCTAAATAGGTCTGGGAGATCAGCTGGTGTGGAAATCTGAACGCCCCGGGATTTGAGTTCTCCAAGGATGGATGCCATCAGGAAAGCGATCGCTGTGGCAGAGTGGGGCGGGGTGGGTGGTTATGTAATCTGTAATCTCCCACCCGAGTAAAGGTGAACTAAAATCCCTTGGGAAACCCTTCATGGCCATTGCCCTTTCATCCTATTTCCAGTCCCCGGTTCTTTCCCCTCTTAGAAGTAGGGGTACCACGAGCAGTGTCTGCTGTGGGGAATAATTTAGCCCTGGTAGCAAAACTAACTTCCCAGAGCAGGTGAACCTCGTTGGCCAACCCCAACATTAAGAAAGTTTCGCAGGGGCAGCTGGAGCCTCAGACAAGTTACCAGACAGAGTATCAATGAATGTCCGTGGGCAGCTTACTGCCATTTGCACAACATTCAGTTGTTAAGGGTCACCAGGACGGCCAGGTGCAAACAGGAAGAGAGTAAAGTCCTCTCAGATCTCCATGGAACCAGGAAGGAGAAACTGGCCTTGACTGCAAGCTAAGATTACAAGGATCCTGGGGTTCAGCCTTTTCGGAAACCTGAACACCCTTGGATTATACAGTCTCTGCAAATTGGATCCCATGAGGGAGTCTGCCACGACCGTGGGGTTACATAACCCCTAGTCTCCTTTCTGAGCTCCCCCAGGGAGCCCCAAGTTCAAGAGGCCATCCGTGGTCATCGTGTCTGTGAGTGACATCCCCATTTTCACAGGAACAGGCTGAGCCGCCGTTGGGACCACGCGGACCTCAAGAGGCTGACCCATCTGTGCGGCAAGAACTCACACATGCGGGCAGCAGGGGCTTGCCCAGGACTCCCTTCCACAGTCTGGCAGAGGTGAGATCAGGGAGGGGGATGCACAATGACAGCAGGTGTGCAGGGCACAGACACCTGTGCTTCTCCACAGTGGCCTGGGCAGCGTCCTGTGGGGCTTCAAGCGACACCATGGTGGACAAGGTCCCAAGAAGGGGGCAGGTGGAAAGCGTCCGGTCCTCTCTGCATCTCCTCTTAGAGGTCTCTTTGGTTATCAGAAGTGGGAGTTCATGGACCCCCCACTGAAGGATCCCCAGAGTTCCCACAGGCTTTAATTCTGTTGTTGATGCCTTTCCTGGGGCTGAGGGGAAGACTCAGCACCTGCTCATCTCTCTGGGAAGCTCTGCCTGGCTGTAGCCACCACCCCGCATCAGGAGCTCCCGTCCGCTGCCCAGGTCCTCGCAGCATCCCCATGAGCAATGAGCTCTCCACCCAATCCAAGAAGAACGGAGGGGAATAGGCTGTAAAAGACCAGGACGAGGACCTGAGGTAACAGGAGAGGGTTAAGAAGGGTGAGAAGGAAGAGAAGCGTTCCTCTTGACCTCCTCCTCTTCTCACAACCTGCCTCCCCTGCAACAATTACATAATCACCTCCACCTGACTCCTTCTCACAGGCAGTGAGCCAGCAGAGGTATAACTGGGCAGGGAGTGTGCACAGCCACCAAGAGAGCAAGAGAGACATTTTGGTAAGCACAAAAAGCCAGGGGGAAAAAAAATAAATAAGAAAGGCAGGAGCTGGTGTTGTGCTATATAGCAGGTTAAGTTCCAAATGGGCAAGGGTTTAAGAGCCCCGCATCTTATCCAGCTCCCTGCCTGTGGCCTGGGAAAGCAGTATAGAGAATGGCCCAAAGCCTTGGGACCCTGCACCCACGAGGAGGCTCCTGGCTCCTGGCTCCAGGCTTGCTCAGCTCTGATTATTGCAGCCACTTGGGGAGTAAACTAGCGGAGGATTTTTTTTTTTTTTGTCTTTCCTTGTCTCTGTAAATCTGTCTTTCCAATAAAAAAAAATAGAGAAATCTTTTTGTAAAAGTATATATGTGAGGTTAGATTTGGGACCCTCCCAAGGCCAAGGTCCATATGCACCATGGACTCACCTCCCGGATGATCTGAAGATTATGAAGATGATTTGCAGCCCTGACCCGGTGCCAGCTGGTCGGGAAAGGACTTGTGACACTGTGCCTGCAGGCTTTCCCTGAAACAAACTCCCACCGCGCCACTGCCTTTCACAGTGTGTGGTCTTGCTCTGTCTTCTCAGTACTCATGACTGTCGCCTTCTGGATAGTCTCACTCCTTCTCCTGAAGTCGGTTCCACAAGGACAGAGACGTCTCCGCCCTCCCACTGACTCCCCACTTCCCGGGCCCTGAGAGCGGCGTCCAGGGGTGATGTCTAGATGAGCTGAGATGTTGTAAAGGCCCTTCAAGGGTGTTGGAAGTGTCTAAGCCACCACCAACTGCATGCCTGCTTGACCACATCCTGCAGACAGAGGCAAAACTCTCTTTGTAAAGGGCATCTTGCTGAGGCTGGAGTTGTGGTGTCGTAGGTCAAGCTGCCACCTGCATCACTGGGATCTCCCATGGATGAGAGTTAGAATCCCGGCTGCTCCGCTTGCAATCCGACTTCCTGCTAATGTGCCTGGGAAAGCAGCAGGGCCGAGAGCCGGGTCCCTGTGCTACCCATCTGAGAGATCTGACGGAACTCCAGGCTCCTGGTGCCAGCCTAGCCCAGCCTTGGCTGCTGCAGCCATCTGAGGAGTAAACCAGTGGATGAAAAAAAATCTCTCTCTGAAACTCTGTCCTTTAAATAAATACAAAAAAATTTTTAAAAAGAACGCTTGTTTGTGAACATCACAAAGGAACTAATAAAATATTGACCGTAAAATTGAAAAATTGCTTCATAACAAGTATGCCCTATTAAAGCACATTTTAAAAGATTTATTTATTTTTATTTAAAAGCTCAGTTACAATGAGAAAAAGAGACACAGAGAGAGAGAGAGAGATCTTCTGTCTTCTGGTTCACTCCTCAAATGGCTGCAACAGCTGGAGCTGATCTGATCTGAAGCCAGGAGCCAGGAGTTTCTTCCTGGTCTCCCACATGGTTACAGGGTTCCAAGACCTTGGACAACCTTCCACTGCTTTTCCAGGCTACAACCAGGGAACTGGGTGGGAAGTAGAGCAACGGGGACATAACCAGTGCCCATATGTGGTGCCAGTAATGCAGGCAAAGGTTGAAGTCTGCTGTGCCACCACGCTGGCCCCAGTGAAGTATTATGTAAGCAGGAAAAAAAAAGTAGTTTACAAATTGCAAAACACATTGTAAACTGAATACTTGGTAAGCCACAAAGTGTTTATAGATATTCAGTCCAAGGTAAAATCTAGAACTGTGATAAATCTTAAAGTGCTTTGCAAATTTCAAAGCTCTTTAAAACCACCAATTGCTTTACAGCTGAGGAATCTGTACTTGCGAAATCCTTTGCAAACAACAAAAGGTTTACTAATGACCACAGAGTGTGTGACTGCAAACCGATTTGCCAACATGGAATTGTTCTGTAATTCTAAGGTGGCCTTGGGACTGGGCTGCAGTTGCCATCAGGCAGGGCCGGTCTGCAGCACCCCCGGCGAGGGCTGCTGTAGCAACCGAGGAGTGAGCCCAAGATGGAACACCTGTCCGTCCTTCTCCACAACTCTGACAAATAAACACAACTTTTTTCTAAAATAAATTACTTTGTGAAATACACAGTGGCTTGTGAAAGGTTGAATACTTTTAGCATAATGGCCCTTTCGTCAGATCAGGCACTCACCGTCCAGCACCACGTGAGGACAAGCCAACAACAAGCTTGCCGATACGATAACAAGCTTACGGCATCTAGCCATGTTGTAAACGTCTTGCTTTCTGTAAATACACTCTGGTGTTTACCAACAGCAGCGTCACCGAGCAACGCATTCCTCAGACCTGTCCCCAACCTTCAGTGACGTACCGACTCGGGTTGCTCGAGTGATTGATAAATGGCCAAGTATTTGTGAACACTCCTTTGTACATTTAATTTTGAAGGTTGACATGCTTCATAGTTTGAAATATTTGGCATGCTGCAAAAGGATTTGGAAAAATTCATGTTAAATATCTTGTGAGGGCCTGGTGCTATAGCCTAGTGGCTAAAGTCCTTGCCTTGCAAGCACCTGGATCCCGTATGGGCACTGGTTCATATCCTGGCTACTCCACTTCCCATCTAGCTCCCCGCTTGTGGCCTGGGAAAGTAGTTGAGGACAGCCCAAAGTCTTGGGACCCTGCACTTGTGTGGGAGACCTGAAGGAGGCTCCTGGCTCCTGGTTTGGCATTGGCTCAGCTCTGGCCATTGTGGCCACCTGGGGAGTGAACCAGTGGAAGGAAGGTCTTTTTCTCTGTCTCACCTTCTCTCTGTAACTCTGCTTTTCCAATTTAAAAAATCTTTTAAGAAACATTTTGAAATTATCAAGTATTTTGTGCATTTACAGAAATGTAATTGAGGGTGTGGGTGTTGTGGCACTGTGGGTTAAGTTGCTACTTGGGATGCCTGCCTCCCGAACCGGAGCACCTAGTTCAAGTCCCTGCTCATCCAGTTCCAATCCAACTTGCTGCCAAGGCACCTGGGAGGCGGTGACATAAGCCGGGAAGTGGTCAGGAGAAGCTGAGGCTGCCAAGACCAAGGCCACAGCCACGGTGACTCCCAGGAGACAGCATTTCCACTCGTGACCCCTTTATTTTTCACCAAACCCCACCCCTTTGTGGTCCCATCACCCCAATATCACCCCAGGTGGCAATTCCGCATTCCAATCACAGCACCTTGATACTCCCCACTGGGCCACTCCTCCGGTCGAGCCTAAACGGCTTTGGATAGCCCCTACACGGAAGAGAAGGTTTTTTTTTTTTTTTTTTTTGAGAAAAAATGTTTTATTTGAGGGCTCAGCACTGTGGCCTTGTGGTGGCTAAAGTCCTCTCTTTGAACGCACCAGGATCCCATACGGACACCAGTTCTAAATCCGGCAGCCCTGCTTCCCATCCAGCTCCCTGCTTGTGGCCTGGGAAAGCAGTCGAGGACGTCCCAAAGCCTTGGGACCCTGCGCCCGCGTGGGAGACCCGGAAGAGCTCCTGGCTCCTGGCTTTGGATCAGCGCAACACCAGCTGTTGCGGTCACTTGGGGAGTGAATTATCGGATGGAAGATATTTCTCTCTGTCTCTCCTCCTCTCTGTATATCTGACTTTCAATAAAAATAAATCTTTTAAAAAAATATTTTATTTGAAAGGTTAAATCAGACTGTGCCTCCCTCCCCCCATGAAGCAGCTCAGCAAGCGATGGCGGGAAGGCCCCACACAGGGCCAGTCCTCTATGGGGGCCCCCAAAACCTCACCTTGTTGGTCAGTGACCCCTCGTGTAAGGACCAAGCAATGCCTGTGTGTACCAGTGACACTGTAAATACAGACATCTTGTCAAATTGTGTTTCAAAACTTCGCCAACCTAACGGACAGAAATTCTGTCCTGCTATAGCATGAATGATTCGGCCACTACTTCAAAATGTCTGTGACCTTTGCCTTTGGTGATGATTTCTAGGCTTTGTCTGTTTTTCTGCTATTTTGTTTGTGGAGCTCTTTCTTAAGCAGAGCCAAGAATCCCTTGGTGATCTGTAAATTAAAAATATTTTATTTCCAATACTAATAATGACAGCAACATCAACTAAACCAGGATTCAGGTTTGGGTGTCTTTGGGATGACTTGGGTTCTGGCCTCAGGCCACTGACTTCACCTCTCTGAGCCTCAGTTTTCTGGAGGAGGATTTTTTTCTCTATGTATCTATTGATTTATTATCAGCCTCTCATGGCACACTTACCTGGTCACCACATCAGCATCATCTCACTTAGTCTTTGTAACGACTCATGAAGGCCTCTGAGAGGGCAGGTCTGCCCCATGCTCACGGCTTCGGGTAGCAGGTGCACATCAAAGACCACCCCCTGTCCCACACCTCCGTGGGGGAGGTGAGATTTATCCTTGCCGTGGAATACGATGCTGCCATGAAAAGGAGGGCCAGGCTGGCCACAGGGTGCCTACGCCTTTTAGCACAGTGCTGAGGACAGTCATGCAATCTCATTTCCATGTCCTACAGTCCACAGCCACGCAACATCCAGCACAGCAAATCTGCTGTTATACAAGTTCACCAGCGGTCATTAGGCCCCAGAGGGTGCGTCCGTGGAAGCATCTTTTTGAGGTGGTGAAAGTATTTTGGAAGGAGAAAGTTGCTAGAAGCAAAACGGAGTCATCTGTGCTAACCTCAACCAGAAAAACAAAAAATAGGAAATAAACCAAGACAACAGGCCACGAGGTAAGCTGACCACAATTCAAGCATTCTCTCTCTCTCTCTCTCTCTCTCTCGGCCTCCATTGTCTTCTGTTTTTACTTAAGTCAGCAGGAACTAAGCATGGGTGATGGCCACGCCACACTGTGTTGGGCTGTCCAAGCCATCTTGCTTTTCTGGGTACAGGGAAATATGCTATTTCATTTTTGCCTCAAAAGGCAAAACAAAACAAAGCAATACAGCAGAGACAGAAATTTGTCCCAGACATTAGAGGACTTTATTGGTTTTTGGAGGACCGAGGTTGGGGGGGTGGGGTTGGAACTGACATCATCCGGAGTCCCACAGTACAGAGGCTGACGATAGTCTTCATGGAGGGAAGGGAAGTGGGGGTGGTGGGAAGCTCAGATCCACACATGGATGGGGTTGATTCTGCCTCAGCTGTCCCATGCCCCATATTGGGGCCTCAGTTTCTCTCACTGTGGTGATAAGTCTAAGTTATTGAGGTATTTCTGGACCCTGAAACTCTAAGGTTTTATCCTTAGTGATCTGTGAAAATTACATAGGGGATGAAGACTGCAGCAGGCAGAATGGGAGTAAGGCTGCCAGAAGGACTGTCCACGGGGGCTCAGGAGGCCTGTAGGGATGTGCTCTGCACAGGGGCAGGGGCTGAAGGGAAGGCCTGTGGGGGGGCCTGCATCCCTTTGTCCCCTCTCCTGCGGGGCAGGAAGCAGACCTGGAACACGGGGGGCAGCTTCCCTAGCCCGTTCACCTGCGGCGTGAGGTCAATCTCTTCCGGGGCTTTGGGGCAGCCCAAGGAGAAATTCTGCAACATGGTGGTGAAAAAGAGGAAGAGCTCGGAGCGGGCCAGGCTCTCACCCAGACAGATGCGTTTCCCTGGGGGTGAAAGGGAGGGGGTGTTGTCATGCTGGGGAGCACCCAGCGGCCCCTCCCACCCTCCTGAGACGATTGCATGCTCATCATTGACATCATGGTGTGTGTGTGTGTGTGTGTGCGCGCCCTAGCTGCCCCATAGCATCTCTGTCTCTTAGCTCAGTCTTTGCCTCTCTTGCACACTCATGTATCCTTGATTAAGTGTATTACTATCAGTTAAGCCAATAGATGCTGCAAAAACATGGGGAGACTCTGCTCGTGTACCTTGGAAAAGCAGAGCAAGGAGAGAGGTAGAGTGGGGAAGCTAACACCTCTGGCCTCCTCCTGGACTGACAGGCAGGTCCAAGACCCACTCATGGCTGGGTAAGAACACCCACTTGCTTCTGAAGGAACCAATATACAGCTGGGGCTCTGTGCCATGCACCTGCCCCAGGTCCCAAGGCTGGCACCCCAGTGTCCCCTGGGACCCTGTTTCAGCACCATGGACAGAAGCAAGCCCCACGGCCAGGGGCCCCTCAGGCTTGTTACATATGCCGGATGGCACCCGGCCCACCATCATCTTACAACTAAGCCCCTCACACCCACTCCTCCTATCTTTCAAGTGTTCTGTCTTCTTCAGCACCAGACTTGGGTCCACGAGGCAGGACCAGGGTAGGCAGCAAATATGTCCCTGGGCTTACCACAGTTTGGGCTGCACCTGTTGACTGTAGGAACACCGGAAAAGGAGGGAACCTAGAGAGCCTTGAAGCCCAACAAACTATGTCCCTACTCGCACAGCACAGCTTTCCGGTCACTGTGTGGCCATGAGGAGTATGGTCCCCCTGCTGACTGGGCATGGACACTGGCTCAGCTCCCAAGTGCCTCCAATAGCCACGATTAGGACAAGCTGAAGTCAGGAGACTCAATATATCCTATTTTCCCCCCTTCCTCGAACTCCTTTCATTCATGTACCTACCCTTTGCCTCTCTATCCACCTGTAAATGTATGTGTTCACTCACAGTAAAAATAAATAAATAAGACATCCTCTGAAATATTAACAAGTCTGGTTTGAGTAGGAATTGACAGCGGACTTCTACTTTTGGTTTGATGACTTTCTTGTGTGTATAGAATTAGGAAAGTAACAAAGATACTTGTACTTGGGGTGAAAGAGTGAAAAATTCCCAATTCTGGGCACACAGTAGACCCTCAGTAAAACGGGCCACTGAGTGGTTATCAGTGGATGCATGCATGAGTGTGTCTGTATGTGCACATGCCTGTTTTTATGAACTTTAGCCTCCATGGTTTGTCCTCCCTTCCCTTCCGCCTCACGCTCTTTGTCTCGCTCACCTCCACGTTTTGCCAGAACATCCACCTGCTGTTTGAACATGCCACGCAGAGGAGGTGGGGGTGGGGCAGGGCCCAGGGCACAGCTTACCCATGGAGAACGGGATGAAGGCTTCCTGCTTTCTGAAGTTGCCCTCTGCATCCAGGAAGTGACCGGGGTAGAAGGCATCTGGCCTCTCAAAGTAGTGTGGGTCATGGAGGGCAGAGCTCATGACAGGGTACACAGTGGTGCCCTGGAAGGGTTTCAGACATTATCAGCAAGGAGCAATTGAATCTGGTACGCAGAGGTCACAGTGAGCTTGATGCCCGTGCTGCGCTAGAGTTAAAATACTGAAACGAGACTGAATATGTTTGGGGTAACAGCTGTGCCACAAGCCCTCTGGCTAACCCTACCAAACACTCCATCGTCTGTTCCCAAAGCCCGCCTGATCTCCTCTCTCTGATCTGCCAACTAGAAGCTCTCTGTCTGACTCATCAGAGCCTCCATGGACCCAAGTGCAGCATCAGCACCAGAATCTCATCTGATGTGTTGGTATCCCCTGGAGGATTGGGTGCTGTGACTAATGGTCCTTGGTGCATCCATAGTCGGAAGCACAGGGCCACGCAAGGGGACTGAGGTGAAGTCGTAGGCAGCGATGCTGTTCTACACGGTTGGTCAAGATGATGCTTGGGATGCCTGGGTTTGCGCCCTGGCCCTACTCCTCAATCCAGCTTCCTGCCACTACACACCCTGGAAGGCAGCAGGTAACGCTCGGGCGCTTGGGTCCCTGCTATCCACATGCAAGACCTAGGTGAGTCCCTGGCTCCTGACGTCAGCCTCGCCCAGCCTAGGCTAGTGCATACATTTGGGGAGGGGACCAGCAGGCAGAAGAACTCTGCCCGCCTGTCTGTGCACATATGTGTCTCCCTCTCTCTCTGCCACCCTGCCTTTCAAATAAGTCTTTAAAAAAAAAAAAAACAGCTCCATCTAACAACACATTTTAGCAAAAGAAAATCTAACATCAAGTAAAACACAAGACAGGACGGAGGGGAGATGGTATGCCCACATTTCCAAAATCTCCCTCCCCCTACATAAGTCTGGAAATGTAAGATGGTGGTGGTAACCCAGTGACTGGGGAGCTGGAGTGACACAAGACCACAGGCAGCCAGCTGGCCGCTCCCCCAGATTCTGGCACCCTGCAGGTGTCACCTTCAGGAGATGGTATCCCCGGAAGTGGGTGTCCTTCATGAGGCAATGGGGGATTCCTATGGGTGTCAGGTCGCTGAATCTCTGGATCTCGCAGATGACAGCGTCTGTGTACGGCATCTTGGTCCGGTCCTCCAGGGCTGGGAGGCGGTGGGGGCCGATCACCCTGTCGATCTCCGCTTGGACTTTCTCTGAGTTGGGGAGGGTGGAAGAGGGGTACATCAGGGATTGTCCATAATAACAACCTCCCTAGAGACACCCCCAAAAAGGGACCTGCAGCCAGGAGGAGGAAGCTGCTGTATTCTTGACTAAGGTGTTGCCTTATCACACCTTCCCAACCACAGTATGGAGAAGGGCAATGGCCCCTCTGAGCTTCCTAACTGTGCTCTGCAAATCACCAAAGGGTGATACACTCCCCTCCCTGGGAATGAGGCCAAGAGCTGTCCAGTTTGTCTCTCCCTGGACCCCAAAGGGAGCCAGAGCGTGACCCACCTGCGGTCTCCGTGTTCTTAAGCAGCAGCAGGAGGCCATAGCGCAGCGTGGTGCTGGTGGTCTCGGTGCCCGCGAAGAACAGCGAGAGCACGGTATGCACCAGGTTCGTGTGGTGGAACTCGCTCTCCGCCAGCGAGCGCTCCTGCAGCGGGGAAAGGCAAGCTGGGTGGGAATCGCCCTTCTCCATAACAACGGGTCTAGCATTGGACAGCCCAATCAGAATAGACAAGAGCCTCCAATCAACCAATCAGGACAGAGGTCTAACAGAGCCAGTCAGAGGCCAAGGAGAGACAGAGGAGAGGACCAGCTACTAAGGACTCAGTACAGCTGCGCATAGAAGTTCAAGTCCGTGTCAGAAGTGTGCCCAGCCCCGTCTGTGCACCCACCCCAACTTAGCTGGGCCCTTGCCTTGTCCATACGGAGCAGGAAGGAATCAATCAAGTCCCGGGGCATGCTGGGCTCCAGGGTCTCCCGGTGTTTCTCGATGTTTTGGATGATAAAATCCTTGAGTTCTTGAATGACGTTGTTCATGCGGATGTGAGGACCTGGCAAGTGTCTCAAGATGCCAGACAGGAGTTCAAACACCTAGAGAGAGACAGGGTAGTGTTCACAGCCTGTTCTCCCCGCTCTGGGCTGGTGCTGGGTGCCTGGGACATGGCACTGTCTGAGATAGCCCTGGCTGAAGGGCAGCGGGAGACTTAGGCAACATGCCCTGGGGTGCCCATAGGTGGCCACATACCCAGTAGTACACACAGAGTGGTACCTGCTGCCCTCACTCACGCCATGGAGGGCTCTGTTCTCAGTGTCCACCCTTCTCCCAGGCCTGGTTCCCACCATCAACCTGTCTCCTCACCTTACCTGGTGTTCAGACATGCTTGAGTAGACAGATGACTCTCAGGGTGTGTGTGTGTGTGTGTGTGTGTGTGTGTGTGTGTGTGTGTGTGTGACACCCCTAAGGCCAGCCTTGTGGCACACCACCTATGATTCTGGCATTCTGTATGAGCGCTGGTTCAAGTCCTGGCTGCTCCACTTCTGACCCAGATTCCTGCCAATGCGCCCGGAGACGCAGCAGAGGACGGCCCAAGTTGTGATTACATGGGAATTTCAGATGGAATTTCAAGCTCCTGGCTTCGGCCTGGCTCAGTCAACAAGGAACCAATGGATAGTGTGTGTGTGTGTGTGTGTGTGTGTGTGTGTGTGTGTCTGATTTTCAAAGAAATCTTTTTTGAGGGAAAGAAAAGAAAGAAGGAAAGAAGAAAAAGAGTGGAGGAAGAGAGAGAGAGGGAGAGAAAGAAAGCCAACCCGTGCCACTGGGCCAAGCTGGTTGTTTTGTGATTAAAACCGCAGGACACAGTTTTCCAATTTCCAAGTGCCCAAAGGGGCCAGCAACTCCTCCTCTTGGGGCAGCCCCTCGCTTCTGTGTCCATGGCAGAAGTCCAGAGCCTGCCCTCCCGCAGCCCTCTACTCCCACCTGCCCTTTGCCTGGGGGACTCCTGGGCCTCACCTGGCTGTAGAAGGAGCTGAGGAGGATAAAGGTCTCACTCAGTAAGTGCAGGAGCTTCTGGAACATTGGGTCCCGATAGTCGAAGCGCTCGCCAAAAACAACGGAGCAGATGACATTGGCCGTGATGGCGTGGAAAAGGGAGGTGGGATCCAGGTAAACCCCTGGGGGCGAGAGGTCTCTAATGGCAGGTGCCCCCCACCTCCCCAGGCATTGCATCCTGGCCACTCTGACCCAGCTGCTGCCCACGTGACCCCAGCAGGTGGCTGTTTAGCTCTGTTCGTCTCACGCCTTCTATCTTTGCCTTTTCATTTCCAAATCTTTTTCTTGACATTTCTGCATTTTTATGTGTGCTCTCAGCATCCCCCCATTTCTCTCTCGCTCTCCCTCTCCCTCCTGCCTCCCTATCTTTCTCCCCCCCTCTCTCCTGCTCCACCTGCCCCAGGCTTGGGGCTCACCCTGTGAGTTCTGCAGTTCCTCCACCAGGCACTGCGCCTCCTCCTTGATGCGCTGCTCGATGCTGCGCCTCCCCACCCCCAGGTCCTTCATGGTGGACAGACAGAATCGCCGAAGGGCTTTCCAAGGCTTTCCGTTGGCGAACGCCACGCCTGGGTGACAGAGGAGAGGGTGAGAAGAGGAGGTTAGGTGTATTCCTGGGGGCTGCTTTCTCCCTTGTCCACAAATGCCCACCCTCACCCCTCACTCTGTCCTCCCATTGTGCCCGCCCCCAAGCCCCAACTCACCAGTCCCCTGGAAGATGGCATCCGTGATGGCGATGGTGCCCCGGCCAGAGAATGCCTCAGCCTGCTCCACTAGGGCCTCCCGTATGGCCTCGTACCCGCACAGCACAACCACAGGCCGGGGCCCCAGATACACAGTGAAGACGTCCCCATATTTCTCACGCAACTGTGGAGGCACCACCCGGGGCTGGCTGCAGGTTGTGGCACCTGCCACAGGACCCCTCCACCCGCTTCAGCCGCTGTGGCTCAGCCTTCCCTGGCACCTCCCAGCCCCCACCACAACTCAGCCCCCCTCAGGTCTTCCGGAAGTTTCTAAGTGGGCTGCTGATCCATGGGTTCCCGGGGTTCCCTGCCAGCGGCGCCCTCTCCCGGCTCACCCGCTGGAAAGATACGAGGAAACCCTGGCGGTCGATCTGCCACAGACTTCCCAGGAGGGGCAATGGCCAGGGACCGGGAGGGAGGCGGCCCTGGCGGCCCCGATGGCCGCGGACCCAGAGGATCAGCAGGCCCGAGGCCAGGACGGTGAGGAGCCAGAAGGCTGACAGCACCATGGCGTCCCTTCTTCTGGCCGTCTCCCCACGCTGCCGTCTCTCTTAAAACGCAGGCAGCTCTGTTGTTTGTTGTCTTTCTTCTGTGGGTTGGCAGGATTGAGAGTGCCAAGAATCTAGTTTGGCAGAGCTCCTGCTGCCTCTCCAGAGGTTACAGGAAGCCCGAAGGCAGTAGGTGCCTCTGCAGGAGCCAGCAGCCCAGCAGCAGCTCGGGGACCCAGTCCTAATATTGCCTGCCCATTGGCCCCTGGCTGGTCTGGTGCCCTCTGACACCCAGCGAGAGCTCCAGAAAGGGTGTGGGAAGGGTGGAGGCTGTGTTGATGATGACTCTGGGTCAGCTGTGTCACCAGGCGCCATTCTAGCGTGAGAGAGAAATGAGATAAGAAGAAGGTGGTACGGCCTGACAAAGGAGGCCTGTGGTGGGAAGGAGATTTCTTTAGTCGGCCACTGCCAGCCAGCCAGCTGTTCCTCAGCTGCTGTTTTCCCCTGGGTCCTGACCGTAAGCGGGTCACGCATGCAATACCAGGGATTACGCCCTGATCCCAGGAGGTCAGGCGTGGTATGTTCGGCTTGATTCTCAAGCGACTTGAAAAGACATGTCAGGAATCCCAAGGTCACAGAGGGGCAGGGGCAAGGCCACCAAGAGTGAGAGTGGCGAGCGGAGCTTGGAAGACGTGACGTGGAAGCCTTCAGACATGGGCAACCATGGGTGTGCGACCGTGTTTACCTGGGACACCTTGCCACAGGTGAGCACAGCAAGGTGGAGAGCAGATGGGGTTTGCCAGGGGCTGGAGGAATGGGGAGGGGCTGTTTCATGGGTTCTGAGGTTTTCCTTTGGGCAGTGACCAAGTCTGGAAGCAGATGGCGTGGTTGTAAGGGTGTGGTAAGGGACCAAAAAAGCATGAGACCACACCTTTAAGAGGGCCCGCTGCACACTGTGTGGGCTGCATCTGAATTTAATGATGAGTGAAAATAATGGCTGTGGCCACCTCCAGGTTCTTTCTCCTCCACTCACAAGCAGTGTGCTCCCAGAACCCTGGCAGCATTGCCTGACCTGTCACTACCTGTCACTCCACTGGAATGTGAACATCGTTGCACCTGCTGCAGGGAGCTGGTGTGTGTGTGTGTGGGGGGGGGCTCACAGGAGGTGCCGTATGCTGGAGGTCCTGTGTGCTGGAGGCCCCGTGTGCAGAGGCTGCAGCACAGACCATTCAGAGGGACTACACTTGTTCTTTCATTTTATTTTTATTGGAAAGGCAAAGTTACAGAGAGAAGAGACACACACAGAGATCTTTCGTCTGCTGGTTCACTCCCCAGATGGCTATGATGGCTGGAGTCGAGCCAGTCCACAGATGCTTCCTCTGGGTCTCCCACGGGGGCGCAGGGAGGGGCCCAAGCACTTGGAACATATTCCGCTGCTTTCCCAGGTGCATCAGCAGGGAGCTGGATTAGAAGTGGAGCAGCCGGAACTGGAATAGGATGGAGGTTATGCTGTCCCCTGCAGTGGTTCTAAACAGGGGAGCAGTCTCCTGGCATGAGCTGTGGCCTTGGAAGTGGAAGTGTAGCGGGGTCCCAAGCCAGGGTTCCCCTTGTCTGTGCACACCAAGGAAGGTGTCTGTACCAGGGCGGAAGGAGATGTGACAATAAGGGGAGGGACTCTGGCAGCCGGTTCCAGAAGCAGGAAGACAAAGGAAGAGTTAGGGACTCTTCTGCACAGGGGTTGGGGACGTGTAATGACCAGCATCAGTGGCCCCTTTTCTGCCAGCCTGCTTAGCGGGCCAGGAAGCGGATCTTGTACGCGGGGGGTATTCTGCCCACACCACTCTCCTGAGGCGTGAGGTCGATGTCCTCAGGGGCCACAGGGCCGGTCACGGAGAAGTTCTGCAGGATGGTGGTGAAGAAGAGGAACAACTCGGAACGGGCAATGCCTTCGCCGAGGCAGATGCGCTTGCCTGTGGACACAGAGGGTCACAGGGGTGGGCGCAGCCTGGGGGGTCTGCAATGCCTCACTCACCTGTGTCTGCAGTAATGGGTCTACGTGGGGCTTGACCTTTAACCTGTAAGTCAGGGTCAGGGTGGGCTTCCGGACTCTCTGAGACCAGATGGAAACATTGAGGTGCAGGTGCTAGGTTCACCTCTTGGGTAGGAGTTTTTTGTTAGATATCCGGAAGGTTCAGTGGCCTCCAGGGTGGAAGGCTCCACTTCCGGGTGTGTGTGTGTGTGTGTGTGTGTGTGTGTGTGCATCTTGTCTCTGGGAGCATGTGGGTGTATGTTTCTGGGTCTCTGTGTCCCGATTCTTTCTCTGCCTCATCTTCTGGTCTCAGCCCGGGACCCACAGCTTTTGAGAAACGTGAACACACCCACCCAAGTCATCCGTCACATTGAGGATGGGGCTCTCGCATGAGCCTCCCCGCTTATGTTGGGGTCTCTCCCACAGCCAGGGCCAGGGTGGGTCAACTTCCCTACACTCCTGTGCAACCCCTCTCAAGTGATTGGAAGACTGTCCCCCACTCCCCTCTCTTAGGGGGAAGGAGCACATCAGGGAAGGGTTCGTGTCCTTTCGGCCCAGCCAGAGGAGCCGTGCCCTGTTCCTCAACAGGTTCTGTGATCCAGATGTGTCCAGATCGGCCTGGGAGTTTAACATCTCCCTCCTCAGGCCGTACACCCCGTCTGTCCCTGAGGCGGCCTGGGGGGACGCCCTCTATTATTTTCTGCCCTGGCAGGTTGGGGGGAGTCAGCCTCTGGCCCTGCCTCCTCACCCCCACACTCTTCCGCTTTGAGCTCCCTGTTTGTATCTGATATTCATTCTATTTTCATCTCCCTCTGAAGACACTTTGTCTCTCGCCCAGTCTGTTCTCCCTCCTTACTTACATCATTCTGTTCCATCTTAAGATTTCGCTCCCTCCTCTTCCTCCCTGCCTCCTCCTTATCCCACTCCTACTCTCTCGGGGTCTCTCCTGGGTCCCCTGTTCCCTGACTCCTATCCCCTGTCCCTTGCCCCCGTGCCCTGTCCCCACGTGTCTCTCATTGTCCTGCTCTATTCCACACTCACATGATCTCTCTGTGGCTTACCTGTACGTCTCTCTCTGGATTTGGGGTGGGGCCGTGGAGGGGAGGCACTGACCCTCCTCCCACTGCCCCCCACCTTCTCTTCCTGGCTTACTAACTGTGAACTGAGGGTGCAGCCCGCTGTCTTGGGTGGCGCCTGGGGAATCACCATCACCCAAGTCACCGACTGAGGACCTGTTCCTGTCCTCCTTTCCTCCCTCCCAGCATTTAAGGAACATGAACACTGGAACAGTCCGTGAGTGGATCTCCTTTGCCTCTGGCCTTCGGCTGCCGCTGGACCTAGCAAGATGTAAGCTAATATAAATGTCCAACATGAGTCTCTTCTAACGAGTCATCAGATCTTGGTCAGTCAGAGCAGCTGATCTTCTGCGCATCACAAGCTGCAGATTCCTTCACGCGTCTAACCAAGCTGTCTCCATCATTTCCTCTTCCCGCCTGTAAACATTGCCCGCCCACTTTGCTGAGTGGAGCTCCTTGCCCCTGTCTGCTGCCTGATCATCCTTGAACACTGGCATTGCTCAAGCAAACTCAGGTAAACCTCATTTGTTTCATGTGTTTCTTTCAACAGGCCGAGGACCAAGGGATCAGATCAGGGACATTGGCCCGGTGTGATGGCTCAATGACTGAATCCTCACTTGGCAAGTGCCAGCATCCCATATGGGCACTGGTTCATGACCCAGCTACTCCACTTCCCATCCAGCTCCTTTCTTGTGGCCTGGGAAAGCAATAAAGGATGGACAAAGCCTTGGGACCTTGCATCCATGTGGGAGACCCAGAAGAAGCTCCTGGCTCCTGGCTCCGGACTTGGGATCAGCTCAGCTCCAGCCATTATGACCACATGGGGCATGAGCCAGTGGATGGAAGCTTTTTCTCTCTCTCTGTCTCTCCTACTCTGTGTAAATCTGATCTATCTTCCCAATAAAGAATAAATAGATCTTTAAAACAAGAGTACAGGGATGGGCAGTGTAGGCAGGGCCTTCCCCAGCTCCTTGGTGTATAAGATTAAGTCCCAGCGCCTTCTGCAGCCTGCCAGGCTATGTCCACCTCAGTCCCTTCTGGAATCTACTGCCCAGGCTCACCGGGCCTCGTACAGCTTCTCGTGGGTCCCAACTGCCTCTGCACTTCCCAGACTTTCCTTGCTGGGAAGTGGCCCCAAGTGGCTGCTCAGTGGTTATGTATGGGGGTCAGCTTTCACTCACCAGCCTGCCCGGGATGAGGCAGTGGGGGTCGGAATTTTCCTTTCCGTGCTCCCCAAACCCTCCCACTAGCACATACTATGATTAATAGGATCATTAAGTTGCCTTTCACGGTTATGACAATGCCCCCAGGGGCCACCCAGCACGTGGCAGCTGTTGTGGGCACTCAGCAGTCACTCGATCAGATCTGCGCCTCTGCCATAGCACTGAACACTCCTGTGTCTCCCGTGCCTTGGGCGAGGCAGGCTATTGGGTCCCCCAGGAGAGCAGGGAGCACAGAGGAGGGACCTGTAGCATTTCTTCTTGAAGAAAATGAATTCGCTGAGGTGGCCTGAGGGTCAAATCCTTGCCCAAGGTCCTTCTGACCCAGAGGTGGCTTGGAGACACAATCCTATTTCTCAAGTCTCTCTACGACGGCTGTCGTAAAAACAAAATGGTTCTTGAAAAATGTTTAATGAGGTCAGGATGCCCCGCAACCTAGTCTGATGGCCGCATGTTGAATCCATGTTTTGGGTTATCATAGGGTACCCTGAAACCGGTCCCCTTCACATCATTTTTCAGTCAAGGGCAGGGAAGGTGGACAGGTTCCTGAGGATGGATGGGATCATGCAGGGAACACAGCTGGAAGAGAAGGGGCGGGATTCCTGACTCTGGCATCTGGGCGCCACTTACCTGTGGAGAACGGCATAAAGGCTTCATTCTTCTTCAGCCCCCCATTGGCATCCAGGAAGTGGTCAGGGTTAAAGGTGTGTGGTGTTTCAAAGTAATGCGGGTCATGGAGAGCTGAGCTTAGGATGGGGTACACTTCCGTGTTCTGTGGGAGGTCATATGAGAATAAAGTTCCCTGCCCGCCGCCCCCAACACATATCCCCTCCTCACCAAAAGGCCCTCAAGGTGGCCCTCCTGGGAGATCCATGAGAAGCTGGGTGACCTCACCTTGGGAATGACATAGCCTCGGAATTGAGTGTCTTGGGTGACCACGTGGGGCACCCCGATGGGGATGAGGTCTGAAAACCTCTGGATCTCATGGATGACCGCATCCGTGTAAGGCATCTTGGCTCGGTCGTCCAGGGCCGGGGCGCGGTGTGAGCCGATCACCTGGTCAATCTCCTTCTGGACCCTCTCTGGGCAGAGAATGGGGACCCGTGAGTCAGGCCAAAGGCTCCATCCCTGGGCCCCTCAGGCTCATCAGCCTGCCGGGAGGGAAGGAAACGGCAAACAGCAGGAATTCTCAGCCTTTGAAATCTACTGGGTGATGGGGGCGGTCTCTCGTCACAGCATACACACACACACACACATAGATGCACAGCTGTGTACACACAGGCACACAAGTACACAGATTTACAGGTACACACTTACGCACAGGTGCTCCACATACAGATGCTCACGCAGGTACACAGGTGTACACACACAGGTGATGCACAGATGTGTAGGTGCAGACAACACGAATACAGAGATGTGCCCACAAATACACACACAGACGCATACTCCCCCAAGCCTTTCATGGAATTTCAGATTCAGAACTGTCAGAATTCCCTCTCTAAGGTGAGGGGGGAAAAAAATGAATAAATATGTGTTGTATATGTCTACACAAGATAGGCACTATGCCAGAATTTCAGGTGATTTGCAAAGGACTCTCTGACCACATTAATCCACGAACAGCCGGATTACACATAAACCCATCAATGACGATCAACCCAATGAGTTGATTGGTGACTGAAGCAACAGTCAGTGAATTTCTGGCTGTTCACGTGTCAATCAATAGTGGAGGGGCCCATTGCAAAATAAGGCAGTGAGCCCAATTAGTGTACCAGGTGAACGGAACCAAGACAAGAATACGAGCATAAATAAATCACCCACTTACAAGTGCATCAGACTATAAGAAAAGAGTGGGAGGTTAATGATAAACCAAGAAGGGATAAATGGGTGAATTATTACCTTGTAAGTGAAGCAAGGGAATGGATGAAGAATGAACTGACGCACAGGCTGGTACAGGACTAAGATCAAAGCCCTCTCGGCAGAGGATGCATGCATGAGCAAGCACTGAACAAATGACAGACTGTTCCTGCACCAACTTATAGACCAATGAATACAAATACAGAAATGAGAGCGTGCGTCCCACAGAGAGAGGGCCAGTGAGTCCAGAGGCAGATGGACGGATGATGGGTAAGTGGATGGTGAGTGAATCGGGAAACAGAGCGACTGGTCTTGCATGCCTGCATGCACAGGACTGGCTTAGTAGGGGCTGTCCCCAAGCTCACAGCGCCCCAGGAATAGAAGGTTGGCATGATCTCACTGCCCCGTGCTGGACCCTCCTGTCCATGGCCCACCTCTGACGTGCGGGTATTTCAGCATGAGCAGGAAGCCGTAGCGGAGGGTGGTGCTGCTGGTCTCCGTGCCGGCGAAGAAGAGCGAGAGCACGGTGATGATGAGGTTCTTGTGGTGGAACTCACTGCTCGGGTTGGACTTCTCCTGTGTCCCCAGGGGAGAGGCAGGGGGAGGAACAGTGAGCAGGAGCCCGGGCCATGCTTCGCCCGTTTCACCCCTGCTCCATGCTCTGCATTCTAGCTCTGGGTCTCACTCTATCTGATCCACTGCCATTCCCCATCCTCCACTTGGCCACTTCTCTCTCTCTCTCTCTCTCTCTCTCTCTCTCCTAATTAACTTATTTATCACAGAGAAAGAGAGAGAGAGCCTCCATCTGCTGGTTCACTCTCTAAATGGCTACCATAGCCGGAGTCTCTCAGGGGTCCAAGTGTTTGGACAACCTTCTGTTGCCTTCTCAGGTACAATAGCAGGGAGCTGGGTTAGAAGTGGAGGAGCTGGGACTTGAATCCCTGTTCTTTGAGATACCAGCCTCCCAGACGACAGCTTAGCCCACTATGCCACAGTGCCAGCCCCCTCTTTCTGCTATGGCTCTGCTTTTACTTCTCCACCTTTGGATATGGTTCCTCTCCTTCCTGCCACAGCTACGTGGGCCTTCTGCCACTTCATCCTTCTCTCTTGCCTGGCGCTTCTTCCCAGCATCCCCCCATCTCCCTTCCCCCCCTTTCATATCATCATCCTTTTCCTCCATCTTCTCTTCCCCTTTTTTTCCCTCCCTGCTCTTCTTCCCCGGCTCCATCTTTCCCTCCCTCCCCTCCACACCCTCGCCCTTCTCCCAGGCCCCACTTTGTCCATGCGGAGCAGGTATGTGTCGATGAAGTCCCGGGGGTTGCTGGGGTCCAGGGTCTGGCGGTGCTCCTCCACGCTGTGGCCAATGAAAGTGTTGATTTCCTGCAGGTTTTTGTAGATTTGCCTGTGTGCGCCGGGAAAGTGCTTTAGGAAGCTGGAGCAGAGCTCAAACATCTGCAGGCAGAAAAGGTGGGGAGGAACCCTCCTGAGGCTGAGCCCGCTAGGGCCTGGGCTGCTGGAGGAGCAGCCCTCCCAGGAACCAGCACCTCCTTGGGGACTCTCTCTCGCTTTCTCTTCTCTCCTCCTCCTCTCTCTGGTCCTCTCTCTGTCTCTCTGGTTTTCTCTCTCTCTCTCTGGCTCTCTGATTCTATCTTTCTCCCTACCCCATCCCCCAGTCCTGTCTCATTCTCTCCCTCTCTCTGGTTTTCTCTCTCTCTGGTCCTCTCCCTCCATCTCTCTCTCTCTCTTTCTGGTTCTATCTTTCTCTCCTCCCTGTCCCCCCCCCCACACCGCTCCGGTCCTGTCTCCCTCTCTCTGGTTTTTTTTTTCTCTCTTTCCCTCTCCCCACTATCTGCCCTTCCTATCTCACGCTCATTGCTCTGCGTCTCTCCCTGTCTTTCTCCCACCTTTCCCTGCTCCTGTCCTGATCTCTGCCTCTCCCCACAGCTCCCTCCCCTCCCTGCTGGGATCCTCACCCAACAGGAGCCCTGGCCACTGCTCTTCATCACTTGAGAACCTAGTTTGATCATTTAGTCTCATGACAAATGTGCCTAGCTTACGGCACATTATCACAGAAACTGTAAAGTATTACAAAATGAGATGGAAGAGTCTCCTTCTAGAGCTGCCCATTGACCGTGGATTGGCAGGTATCCCTTCCAGACTCTTCTCTCTCCACTGCTCTTCAGAACATCGGAAGCACCTGATGGGGCTGGTCGCACCAGCTCGTGCTGGGCCCCCTGAGTAACTGGGTGAGACCTTCCGGTGGAAGGAGGTGCGGATCCACATGTGAGTCTAACCCTGGAGTAGAGCTACAGCTATGCTTACTGCTCTGTCAGCTCACTTCCTAACTCCGCATGCCAAGCAGCACAGTTTCAGGTGAGGCACAAGAGAAACTTATTAAGGCTAACGCAATGGCTCAATTGGCTAATCCTTAGCCTGCAAGCACCAGCATCCCATATGTGCCCTGGTTCATGTCCCGGCTGTTCCACTTCCCATCCAGCTCCCACTGGGGCCTGGGAAAGCAGTAGAGAATAGCTCAAAGCCTTGGGACTCTGCACCCGCGTGAGAGACGTGGCCACGTTCCACAGTGGAATCAGCCACTGGACCGAACACCTGCTCCTTTTTGAAAAGAAACATGCAGCTTTAGAGTCGGGGCAATTTTTCTTTTTTAAAAAAAAAAGAAGAAAGAGAAGAGGGGGACAAGGTGGAGGAACACGGTCATTACTTTTCTGTATCCTTGAGTTTTTTTGGGTGAGATGTTTCAGTAAACATACGAAGGTGAGAATCTGTCCCGAGAGTGGGGAGCTTGGGGGGGCCAAAGCACACACTCTCTCTTTCCGTCTTTTCCTTCCTTCCACTCTCCCCCCCCCCAAACTCTCACTTCTGGAGTCTCTAACTCTGTCCCTGAATCCCGTGTGTCTCTGCCCTCTTTCCTGAGCCCTCAAAGCCGATCCTTCTCCACCCCCACCCCCAATTGACCTGCCGATGTCCGCCAACCCCCAACCCCTCCTTCCATCCATCCATGCCTCCCCCTGCCCGGACCTGGCTGGAGAAAGAGCTGAGGAGGGAGAAGCTCTTATAGAACATGTCCAGCAGCCTCAGGAACACTGGGTCCTTATAGTCGAAGCGTTTCCCAAAGACGATGGAGCAGATGATGTTGGCCGTGACAAGGTGGAAGAGCAAGGTGGTATCCAGGAGGGCTCCTAGGAGGAGGTAGCGACAGATGGCAGGACTCAGAGTCATGGATTTGGGGAACACTTGGCTGCAGCCCTGCCTCTCTGTGTGACTGTCCCCAGTGTTCAGTCATGATGGATGGACAAGGAATGGCCATCTGTGGGGGGCACCTTGCCACAGCAAGGGGAGGAAGAAGGCACAAGTGTATGGTCTTGTCTCTTCCCATCTTGCTAAGTGGGCAGACCAGGTTGCTAAGTAAACATCCAGCTATGGACTCTGCAGTGAGTCCATCCCCACTGCCAGGGAACAGGTGCACAGCAGGTGCCCCATCAATCACTCATGCAGTTGAGACCTTGGATCCCTCTCTGCTGTCTGGTCTCTCCCCCCACCTCTGGGGTTCTCTGCTTTTCCGGGAATACAGCTGCATCTGTGAGTGGATGCCTGGGCACACCCTGGCCACACCATCCCTGACCCTGGCTGCAGACAGCATGGGCTGTGAAGGTGAGCTTGGGACACCCCAGCTGGCGGGTCAGGTGGCAAGAGCCTTGCAGTTGCACACATCTGTGTCCCACATGGGGCTGCCCAGGTTCAACGCCCAGACCTGGCTCCTGACTCGGGCTTCTGCGGGTTCAAACCCTGAGAGGCAACCGTGATGGCTCAAGTCGTTGGCTTCCTGTCCCCAACGTGAGAGACCTGGGCCTGGGCTGTGTTTCTGACTTAAAGCTTTGCCTCACCCTGGCCATTGCTGGCATTTGAGTCAGTCTCTTTCTCTCCCTCTGGCACTTTGAATGTCTCTCTCTCCCCATGCATTTTGAGTTTCTCACTCGCCCTCTCTTTCCCATCACTCCCAGCCTCTCTGGAACTCTTGAGGGACTTGGATTAAGAAGAAAACAAAGCCCACCACATCCAGGAGAGGAGCAGGCACGGCCACTCCTATGTCCTGTGATGAAGATCCCAAAAACATCCCGCGGCGTTTCTCTGGGCCACGCCCGCCCTCTGCTGGCTGCTGAGCACAGAGCGCCCCACTCCGACCCCGGCTCCCCGAAACCCAAGGCCTTCCCGGTCTCAGCCTTCCTCGCTGTGCGTCCTGGTGTCGCCCTGAGCTGCTTTTCCGCAGCGGCGTGCTGAGCACTCGCGGCCCCCCTCTGACCCTGTCTCCGACTCCTGACTGTCCGTCTTTCTCCGGGCTCCCGTGCACCCAGTCCTCACCCTGGGACTTGCGCAGCTCCTCCACCAGGCACTGAGCCTCCTCCTGTATCCGCTCCTCCACGCTGCGCTTGCCCATGCCGAAGTCCCGCATGGTGGCCAGAGAGAATCTCCGCAGGACGCGCCAGCGTTCCCCGTTGGCAAAGATCACTCCTGCGGGGAGGGATGGCGCGCGGGGCGGTTGGAAGGACACTTGGGGTCCCAGGCTTGGGCACCCCTGCCCCGCTCCTCCCCGCCTTGCCTTCCCAGCCGGCTAGGTGCCGGCGACTCTCAGACTCTCACCGTAGCCCTGGAAAACCGGTTCGATGACAGCGATCTTGCCCCTGCCAGAGAAGGTCTCTGCTTGGTCCACAAGGGCTTCCCGGATGGCCTCCGTCCCACACAGCACGACCACGGGTTTGGGTCCCAGGTACACCGTGAACACGTCCCCATATTTCTCTCGGAACTGCCAAGCACAGCCACACTCAGGGTCATTGCTGAACCGCGGGGGGCGGGGGAGGGGGTGTTCCATCAGCCAGCCCTTCCTGCTCCCCAGTTCCCAGGGCCCAGCACTAAAAGGGTTAACCCGTGCCCCAGCCAGGATCCGCTTTGCTGGGGTGTATCCCCTAACCAGTACAGATGGGAGTCTGTTTCGGGCGCCACTCTGGCCACAGATCTCCACCAACACAACCAGAGTCCCCCTAAAAACCCAATTTACAATTTGCCTTTTGGGGGCAGGGGATGGGGTGAGCAGTGTTGTGACAGAGTAGATTAAGCTACTGTCTGCAACACCAGTACCCACAAGAGTCCCAACTTCTCTCCTTGCAATCCAGTTCCCTGCCAACGAGCCTGAGAAAGCAGCAGAGGACAGTCAGCATTTTGGCTCCTGGATTTGGCCTGGCCCAGACCTGGTCATTGCAGCCATTTGGGGAATGATCTAGAAGATGGACAATCTTTCTCTTGCTCTCACTCTCTGCCTTTCAAATAAATGAATCCTTAACAAAAAAAAAAAAAAAATGATTCACAGACCGAGGCCAGTGCATGGCTCAAAAGGATAACCCTTCACCCTCAAGCACCAGTATCCCACATGGGTGCTGGTTCACGTTCCAGTTGCTCCACTTTCCATCCTGCTTGTGGCCTGGGAAAGCAGTCGAGAACGGCCCAAAGCCTTGGGACCCTGCACCCATGTGGGAGACCTGGAGAAGGCTCCTGGCTCCTGGTTTGGATCAGCTCAGCTCCAGTCGTTGAGGATATTTGAGGAGTAAACCAAGTGATGGAAAATCTTTCCCTCTTTGTCTCTCCTCTCTGTCAATTTGCTTTTCAAATAAAAGTCTATAAATCTTCCTTTTAAAAAGTGTCTCACCGATCATAAAAAAGGGTTGTTTGCTTAACAATGTCTTGCACTGATTCCTGAAAAGACCCTTGACTCCCTCGCTGCTCCCCTTCTTGTGCCCCCACCCCAGTGCCTCACCACTGCTCCAAGCCAGAGTAATTAAACTAGAATCCACTTTGGCTCCTGGTCTGCCTGAAGCCCTCCGACATCCCATGAGCCCCCTTCCCGGCCCTGTGCTGTGGCCCCCTCTAACTCGTCACCCCACTCCTCCCACGTTCATTCATGAAGATCCCTGAGTTTGTTCCTACATCAGGCACCTTTCAGCCACTCCTGTCCCTCCTTCTGCACAAAGCAGAGTCCGGACCCCTCCCACATGGGAGGCCCGGCCTTGCACCCACTGGGAGACCTGGATAGGCTCCTGCCTTTGGTTTGGTCCAGCCCTGGCCATTGCATTCATTTGGGGAGTGAATCACTGGATGGAAGGTCTCTATCTCTCTAACACTGCCATTCAAACAGATTAAACAAACAAACAAACAAAAACCAAACCAAAACAAAACAAAACACCTGAGGGGTGGGAAGGGCTATTGGGACATGACCAAGGCATGGTGCCCCATGTGATCTTTGGGGTTCAGTGCAAGCCCAACTGGTTGATCATCCCCTGGACCAACTTTGCATGGCTTACAGTCCCTCCTACCCAGCACAGCCTTCGGTGTTTGTTGAGGGATTCTGGTCTTTCTTCTACCTCTGCAGCACCCCCTTGGCTCCATCCCTGAGTCCCGGGCCCAGCTGTAGCCAGGACTGTGGGACCCGGAGCTGACCACTTCCTTCACAGCTGCTGCTGACGGTGCAGAGTAGCCAGACCAGACACACAGCAGCGACTGCTCTGGTCACACTCAGGGCTATTCGACCCCAGGTGACCTTGGCTGCTCGCTCTCGCTCTCTCTCTCTCTCTTCTCTCAGGGCCAGTGTCACTGTGGGGATAAAGATGATGCAATATCCCCTTGCTGTTTGTGACAAGATGTTTCGTAGCCAACAAGAAGCACATGTGTCAAACCCTGGCCAACACCCTGCCCTGTTCTCTTCTTGTATAGCTTGGACACCCAGTCTTGGAATCTTCCATGGCAAGGGTCCCCAGAGACCAGCCAGCGTCCAACTCTCCCCCACTAATACTGACATCCTGTGGACAGCACTCTGGCAAGTCCCAGCGTCCTCCGATCCAAAAGGACAGCTGCCAAGAACCCTTTGTGATGGTGCAAGGGCATAAGCTTCTGGAACAACACAGCCCCCCCTGGAACTCGCCGCGGCATTCTGAAAGACGAGCATAATCCATGGCTGTGGTACCCCACTGCACTCTCTACATTCTCCTCCAACCACAGAGACCCACCGCCACCCCCAGCCGCAGGGAGCAAGGCCATGCCCAGGAAAAGCTACCTCAACTCCGCCCACTCTCCCACCACTCTGAGCACCTCAAGATCCCCCCAGGTTGCCAAAGTCCCAGCCTGCTGAGGGAGTGGGCTGTTGCCACAGGTGCCTTCTGTCCCCACACCAGCAGGTGGCCATCCACTGCGAGTCCATTCATCTTTCGTGAATTTGATTCGGCTGTGAGTTCATGCTCTGTTTTCTCTCTGTTCTGTGCCTCTTTGCCAATGCTCTGTAAGGCAAAGGCAGGCACGACTCTGGCGGTGAGCTTCACGCATCTCTGAATTTGGGGAGTCCTCCTCATTGTCAGTAACCAGCTATTGTGAAAGAGGGGCACAGCAAGACAGTAAGTCCCGTGTGTGAAGTCACTTTCGCCACCCAGGGAGCCTCTGCTGGGGTTGAAAATGCCCCTCAGTGGGGAGGTTAAAGGCTGGCACTGTGGCATATGGGTAAAGCCGTGTGTCCCATACAGGTGCTGGTTTGAGTCCCAGCTTTCTTCTGATCCAGCTCCCTGCTCATGCACCTGGGAAAGTGGTGTCAGATGGCCCAAGTGCTGGGGCCTCTGCACCCACATGGGAGACCCAGGAGAAGCTCCTGGCTCCTGGCTTAGGCCTCATATCCAGCCCTGGCCATTGAGGCCACTTGGAGAATGTACCAGCAGATGGAAGATCTTTCTCTCTATTTCTCCTTCCTCTCTCTGTACCTCTACTTTTATTGGAAAGGCAGATTATGCAGAGAGAAGGAGAAACAAAAAGAGCTTGCTGGCTCACTCCACCAATGGCAGCAACAGCCGGAGCTAAGCTGATCTGAAGCCAGGAGCCAGGAGCCAGGAGCCAGGAGATTCTTCCGGGTCTTCCACATGGGTGCAGGGTCCCAAGGCTTTGGGCCATCCTCAACTGCTTTCCCAGGCCACAAGCAGGGAACTGGATGAGAAGCAAAGCAGCTGGGACACAGACCGTTGTCCTGTCCATGTGGGATGCTGGCACCTGCAGACAGAGACTGAGTCATTGTGCCAGCCCAAATAAATCTTGTTTTAAAGAGAATTTTCAGTGCATGAAGTAAGAGGGATTCCTTTGGGTCAGAATTTATTGAGTTGTTATTATCTCACTTTAAAGTTCTGTTATCTTCTGATTTAAATTGCTAATTAATGCTTAAAAGGTTCAACACAGTTCAGGACATAATTCTAAGAATTTATGACTGCGGCTCCCTCCCTTGCACTCAAACCTACTTGATTTACACCCATGGTCCCAAATGTTGTCCCTCCTGACATCGGACCAACCATGGTCCAACCCAAGCAACTCCTTGTTTATCGCTGAAGCTTCTCGGTTCCATCCACAGAATTCCAACAGATCTGCAGGTGGCATCATTTGAAGGATGGTGAACAAGTGACCTTGCCCGTCTCAGGGAAGAGGCCAGGGACTGGCTAAACACCAAGCCTTGCCTGACTTGAAGAGGTGTTTTTGACAGATGTGTGTATTCATATCCTGACCAGTCAGCACACATACATGTAGGAATTCAAGGAACTCACGGGAAACTGAATCAGAAGATCAACTTACGAGCCCAGCATGACAGCCTCGTGGCTAAGTCTCACCTTGAACACCCTGGGATTCCCTAGGGGCTCCAGTTCATGTCCTGGCTGCTCTGCTTCCCTTCCAGCTCCCTGCTCGTGGCCTGGGAAAGCAGTTAAGGATGGCCCAAAACCTTAGAACCCTGCACCCATGTGGGAGACCCGGAAGAAGCTCCTGGCTTCAAGATGTCTCAGCATCGGCTGTTGCAGCCACTTGGAGAGTGAACCAGCAGATGGAAGAGCTTTCTGTCCCTCTTTTTTGCTGTAAATCTGTATTTCCAATAAAAATTAATAAATCTCTTAAAAAGTCAATTTGTTTTCCTGTGAAAATCTTCCAAATCCATGCATCTAGAACACAGGAATCTGCAAAATATTTATGGAAATGTATCTTACAGAAAAATTCTGCATGGATTTCAAATTTTTCTGTGCCAAAACAAACTTGTTGTATTTTTAAAGATTTATTTATTTACTTATTTAATGGAAAGGCAGATTTACAGAGAGGAGAGATAGAAAGATCTTCCACCTGCTGGTTTACTCCGCCAATGGCTACAGCAGGTGGAGCTGAGCTGATCTAAACCCAGGAGGCTGAGGCTTCCACGACTACTTTCTCAGGCCACAAGCAGGGATCTGGATGGGAAGGGGAGCAGCCGAGACACAAGCCAGCACCCATATAGGACCCTGGCAGTTGTAAGGCAAGGTTTTAGCCCCTGGTTACTGTGCCAGCCCAATAAACTTGTCTGTTAAAGTTCTTTTCCATGAACTTTCCGGTATACACTCTCAAAGCTAGTAATTTTCAAGTTCGAAGTAGTATTGACAAGGATACCTTCTATGGCGAAGCATTTCCTTCGGTTAATAACAATGGTGATAGTAAATAAATCACTGATCCAGGACTAGTGGCGTAGCAACTAAAGTCACCCTCTGTGATGCCAGTATCCTGTCTGGACTCTGGTTCGTGTCCCAGCTGTGCTATTTCCAATCCAGCTTCTTCTTGTTCATCGCACTTGGAAAGCAGCAGGAGAGGACCCAAGTGCTTGGACCCCTGTGCCCACGTGGGAGACCCCGGAGGATTCTAGGGCCGGGACTGTAACTCAGCCTTTCAGACAGATAAAATACAATTTCTAAGAAAGAAAAAAAAAAATGGATGACAAGCCTCAGGCATGTGGTGGGTCTGGCCGGGGGAAGAAACAGATGCAAGTTACGGTATAATTCTCATTCTCCCGCTGGACACTGAGTACAGATCAGTAGGCAATTGAGTATAGATCAGTATAATCACACACAAGTGCCAAGGGAAATCACACAGAGACCCGGATAACCCCTGTAGGTGTGGCAGCTGCTGTTACAGGGTGTTCTATTGGACGTTTATTAGTTTAAAAGCTTTGTTGGTTTATTCTTGTCTACCTGAACAAGGCAGAGCGCCAAAGAGACACACAGAGAAACTGCCATCTGTTGGTTCACTCCCCCAGACACCCCCAATAGTCAGGAGCCTGTAACTCTAACCGGTTTCCCAGGAGAGCAGCGGAAATCCGAGCCCTTAAGCCATCATCTATCTCCCACCTTCCAACACACTTTAGCAAGAAGCTGAATTGGATGCAGAGAGGCAGGGACGCAAACCATGCCCCTGACATCGGAGGCAGAGGTCCTGGGCAGCCGCTTAACCCACCACACAGCCTGTCAACTTCTGTTCCTGCTCTCCCAACCCCACTACCTCCTTCCTGGCACCAGCTCTCAGGTTGGTCTTTGCTCCCTCTCTCTCTTGCTTGTTGGCAGATGCAAAAATCTGTTTGCTTGTTTGGTGTCACCGCCCTTTTGCGTTCTCTTCTGGGCAGGTACCCAAGGATGCCAAAGAGAATGACAGAGGGGGAGGGTGAGGCTCCATGGTGCACGCCCAGATACCTTGCAGGGGCCACATGTGGGTCCCGTGGAGTAGGATCAGCCCAGACTGTCAGACCACCATCCACGGTGCACTGGATCCTGCCCCTTCCCCTCCAGCCGCCCCCTCTGCACCTGAGATCCGGGAAGCAGGTGTGGCTCCCTTTGGCATGGGACCCTTCCCCTAACACCAGGCACCCAACCAGGGACTGGCTCACACTGGGGTCCCCATCCAGGTGTGTCTCACCCGCAGGAAAGAGCTGAGAAGGCCCCTCATGTCCATTTGCAGAAGATTCCCCAAGAAGGGCAGGGGACGCGGTCCAGGGGGGAGGTGGCCACGGGTCTTAGGGTGGCCCCTGACCAGGAGCAGCACAAGGCCCGTGAGGACGGCCAGCAGGAGAAGCATGCTGAGCTCCATGGTCCCCTGCTCTGTCTGTTGTCCCCTGTCCTGGAGCCTTTTATACGGAGCCTGGATCCCCACCCAGTCCACCCAGTTATGCAATCTCATCTGTTCCCCGCCCCCCCTTCACACCAGGATCGTGAAGAGAGCAGAGGACACATACTTCCTGCTTGGGCAGCCCGGGCAGTGGCTTACTCCCGGGCCCTTGGCTCCTCCCTAGAGACTTTGGCAGGGACTTGGGGTGGCAGCCAGCACCAGCAGGCACATGGGTTTTGCCAGCTTGCCTGTGATTGTCGAGTGTGCCTGTGTCGTTTCTACACAGAGAAAGGATTTCCACGTGGGAAGCAGGGGTATGGGCCGTGTGGGTGCCTGCTGGAGCTCATGGTGACCTCTCATTTCTGCGGTAGCCCGCAGGAGAAGGGGCAGACACACAGGACTGATGAGACTTGAAGGTGTAGCAGATCAGGTGAGGAACCGAGGGAGACGGAGGGAGACGGAGGCAGCAGGTGGCACAGTGGGTCTTGAATCATAACTCAGGCTGGGTGCCTCCCTCCTATTTCTGGTTGGCATCACTGCAACTCCAGCTGTTGTGGCCATTTGGGGAATGAACCAACAGATGGAAGCTATCTCTTCTCTCTCTCCCTCTCTCTGTAACTCTGGCTTTCATAGAAAATATATCTTTTTTTTTTTTTTTTAAAAGAGAGTTTCAAAGACTGACTCATGTGTAGTGAACAGTTTATTTGAATGTGAGTTTTGGAGGCTGGAAGTCCATGTGAGTGGTGCTGGCACACAGCAAGGACCTACCATGCCATGTCATGGTGTGGTGGCATGGCAAGGCAGGCCGACACAGGAGACAGAGACCAAGGGAGCTACCCTCTCCACGTAGTTAGGCCATGAGTGGACTGTCATAATGACACCTCTATCCGCCACAGCAGAGCTCCGGTAGCCTGGCCACCTCCTACCACTCCCACTGCTTCTTATTTCAGAGAAGAGAGAGTTGCTCATTCTTATTCCAAACGCTCACAAGGCTGGCACTGGATGAAGGCTGGAGCCAACCGTCAGGAACACCATATAGCAGGTGTCCCAGGCAGGAAGCCTGAAGTGGGTGCTGGAGCCCAGTCCTGAGACCAGGCCCTCTGGTGTGGAGGGTGGATGCCTCACCTGCTGGCCTAAGAGCCCGCTGCAGTCACCACGCTGCCACTATTCCATCAACATGAGCCTTGGAGAGACAATTTGTTCCAGGTGTGGCATGCTGCGTTGGAAGATCCAGAACTCAAATCCTTATCACACACCAAACACATCTGTCCCCTGGCAATCGTCCACAAGTCTTCACTCATATCAACATTGACTCCCAGGTCCAAAGTCCCATCTGAGTCAGAGCCTAGCAAAATGACAGATGTGTTTCATCCCGAGGCAAATTCCCTCCAGCTTTGAGCCTGTCGAATGAGAAAGAGCTGCCTACAGCCAGCACTAAGACCCCCTCCCTTTTCTCCGACATCCCACACTTTTACTTTCCCTGCTGATTTTCCAGGTGCTTTAGCGGGCAGCTAGGGCAGAAGTGGAGCAGCCAGGACTTGAACCAGCATTCATATGAGATGCCAATGCCTCAGGCAGAGGCTTAGCCTGATACACAACAGCACCGGCCCCACATACCTTTAATTAGAGAACTTCCAAAAAATTCTGAGGTTCTAACTCCCGGCCATCCACCACAGGGGGAAGAAAAATACCAAAGGGACAGTTGTGGGAGAAGCAAGTTGCAAGCTGACAATCTGTGCACTGTACTGTGCAGTGTGATCCATCTCGCACGCGTCCACGGCGTCCAGTGCAGGATGCGAACCAGCCCGCGGTACGGTCCAGCTGAAGAGCACACAGAAGCACTGAGAGATGAAAAATTGGCTGAACAGGTGCAGCCGCCTGCACAGCAGGCAGCAGAACCAGCAAGGCAGACCCTACCAACCTTTTCCAGAATTAAAGAACAAACCTGCAGCCTGCATCTCACACTGCAGATTTTATGAACTACTTCTGTGTCAACATCTGTTCTAGCTGGCCCTTGTTTTCTCTTACTGTCTAACTTTTTCTCTTGGGGGGTGGGGGGCGGGGTGGAGTTCGATGTCTGTGCAGTTGTCTTGTCCCCAGCTCACTTGCTGTAACTCCCAGCTTGTGCCGTACAGTTCATACTGCACATCTTTAACGCATCACACGTTTTATGATGTCATTGTGTCATCCTTATGGTTACTTTAATGTTTAATGTGCCACGGCCTGTGTTCTAGCAAGGGAGAGTTATAAAAACCTAGCTGCAGGGCCTGGCACGGGTAGCCTAGCAGTTAAAATCCTCGCCTTGCACGTGCCGGGATCCCATACGGGCCGCGCTTCCCATCCAGCTCCCTGCCTGTGGCCTGGGAAGGCAGTCTGAAGATGGTCCAAAGCCTTGGGACCCTGCACCCGCGTGGGAGACCCAGAAGAGGCTCCGGGCTCTTGGTTTTGGATTGGCACAGCTCCAGCCGATGCAGTCACTTGGGGAGTGAGTCATCCAATGGAAGATCTTCCTCTCTGTCTCTTCTCTCTGTATATCTGACTTTCCAATAAAAACAATGAAATAAATCTTTTGAAAAAGAAACAGAACTAGCTACAGTGTATCTAAACCTCTGCATTGTTGCTCCCCCATCCCCTGCCGAGCAGGCTGTAACTTCATGATACATTGTTATTGGTTTTGGCTTAGGTAGCTAATTATTCAATCACCCATTGAAAGCATAGAATAGAGTAAATTCTGACATGTTCACCAAGTCTTGCCCATCCAGTGCACATCGCTCTCTTCGGTAGTTTCATCTCATGTTATTTTCCTTTTCTTCTTTTTAAAGATTTATTTATTTTTATTGAGAAGGCAGTTCAGATCTAGGCAGAGGAGGAGAGACAGAGAGAAAGATCTGTCTGCTGGTTCACTCCCCAAGTGGCTATCATGGCTGCAGCTGAGCCAATCTGAAGCCAGGAACCAGGAGCTTCTTCCGGGTCTCCCACATGGGTGCAGGGTCCCAAGGCTTGGGGCTGTCCTCAACTGCTTTCCCAGGCCAAAAGCAGGGAGCTGGATGGGAAGCGAGGCCGCTGGGATTAGAACTGGCACCCATATGGGATCTCGGTGTGTGCAAGGCGAGGACTGTAGCTGCTAGGCTGCCGCTCTGGGTCCCCATAGTGGATCTTAAAACCCTGTGTGACTGCAGGCGTTTTTCTTTTTGCCTTTGGTTTTGGAAAACGCTTGTGCTGAGTCTAGAATCCTAGGCTGACAGATTTGTTATTTGTTATTTCGCTTTTACTATTGTTCTTATTCCTCTTGATGTAATGTGTCCTTCCCCCCACCTATATGGGTTTTTTTTTCCCCCCAAGATATTGTTATCTGAAGCTCAGAGGTACAGCAAGAGATGGGGAGATACAGGCAGAGATCTTCCATCCACAGTTCACTCCCTTGAGGACCACATTGGCCAGAGCTGGGCCAGTCCGAAGCCAGGAGCCAGGAGCTTCTCCCAGGTCTCTCACATGAGTGTAGGGGTCCAAGCACGTGTGTCACCCCCCACTGCTTTCCTAGCAGGGAGCAGGACTGGAAGTGGGGCAGCAGGGACGCAAACTGGCGCCCCTTTGGGATGCTGGCGCTGCAGGTGCAGGATTAGCCTTCCACATGGCTGTGAGAGCCCCCGCAGCCTTCATTTCTTCAGATGGTTTTTCTCTCTTCTTCCTGTTAAGGGTTCCAGTTATACACTCACGAGGCCACTTGACACTGTCACGGGGCTCACGGGTGCCGCGTGCGCTTTCATTCTCTTGATTCTGTTTCACTCGGAAGGGTTTCCGCTGCTGTGACTTCAAGTTCAGCCATCTTTCCTTCTGCAATGTCTGACCTTCTGTGTGTTTATCTAGAGTTTCATCTCTCAAAGTTGGATCTGAGCCCTCTTCCTGCCGCCTACATCTCCGCTTCCCTTGTTGAAGATGGAATGCAGTCACAAAAGCTGCTGCAAGATCCTAGCCTGCTGTTTGTAACATCCATATTGGGTTGGGGTTTTGTCCCACCTTATCACATTTTTCTGTTGCCTGATCATTTCTGCTGAATTCCAGACACCATGAAAGCTGTTTGGGGCCAGTGCTGCTGTGTAACGGGAAAAGTGTACCATGTGGGCACAGGATCTGGCCCTGGATGCTTGGAAAAGCAATGGAGGATGGCCCAGACTTGGGCACCTGCATTCATGTGGGAGACCCAGCAGCTCCTGGCACCTGGCTTTGGACCGAAGCAGCTCTGGCTGTTGCAGGTGTTTGGAAAGTGAACCAGCAAATGGAAGATCTCTTTCTCTCTCAATTTTGCCTTTCAAATGAAATCTATATAGATTTAAAATTATAGAAGTGAAAGAAAGCTACCTTCATGAGTACTGGGTCTCCATCTTCCTGTAAATACTCCACAGCTTTATTCTGAGATGCAGGCCAGTTCGTTGAGAGACACTTCCGCTTTGGAGCCTTGTTTTTGAGACATGTACAGCGAGCCACTGCCCAGCCAAGTCCGTCCTGAGGCCCAGTGTCCCACGAACTCTGACCTCTCACTTATCTGGGAACAAGTGTTATCTCCAGCCAACAGCTGACTCTGTCTCTTCTAACCCTGTCCCACAGCCCTGTCCCCAGTCATGTGTCCCACACACGCCCTGGTACTGCTCAGCTGCGACCACCAGAGCACCCTCCCGGGGTCTCCATGGCCTGCCCAGGGCAGCTCCACGCCCGCACCTTCCCCCACCCAAAGCTCCTTGATCCAAGGGTTTCCCTGGGCTCTTCCTTCCTGTCCTGTCACCTGGGCCTCTTTTGTGTCCCCCACTTCTTGTGGATCGCCTGTTGTAGAAAGTGGGGTGGAGGCTGAGAATGGGGTTCAGTAGCTGAGCCAGTCCCGTGAGGGGAGGGGCAAGGCAATGATTTATCGGAGGTGGAAAGTCGAAGCCGTCAGGCCCACACAGCAACACGGCCTCCCTTGACCCAGGAGCTCAAAGTGTGCCATG